GTGTATTCAGTCTGAATGTTTGTGTAAATAAAGAAGCTGTAAATAGCTGACATGTTACCAGGGTAAAGTTTTTATCCATGTCAATGGAAAAATGGGTGAGAATAGCCTGAAACTCTGCTCCTTTTTTTCACAGGAGGTAGATTTAGAAGAAAGACCATCCAACGAGTTCCCATCACCCTAACGTTGCACTATATTTGTCAGGGCTCAAATATTTGGAAAAACAGGGGGAGAGCGAGACAGGGAGGGGGGCAGTGATGAGTGTCCACAACAGATACTGACCCCTCATACTCCCACCCCAAGTCTCTGAGCCTTACGTGCCTATTTATAGGGGCATATTGCGCTATGGAAAAATATGACAAAGCTACATTCCATAAATAAGATGGGAATGGTGGAAAAGAGCACATGGCTTAGTCTCTGAAGGCCTAAATGGAGGTTCTCAGGCTTGGCTTTGGGGTATGGATGGATAGATGGATGGTTTATTGGTTTGGCTTGGTACAGTTATCAAGAGTTGGAGCGCTTTTAATTTGGATCTTTGACAAACTACATGTGAAAATGGGCCCATTAAGAATATTACTTCCTGAATTATTGCAACCCCAATTTAGATTTTTCAAAGGTTCTTTTATTATGGTGACTGGCATTTTGGTGACTGGTTGACTGACTTTGGGGACCCAATGACTTTCCCTTCAGTGCCTCCATTTTTTCTGTCTTTAATTACATCACATCACATTGTTCTGGCTGAAGCTTTGGTCTGATATCACTTAGAATACTTAGATTAAAAAACCTAATGCACAAAATACTCTTGTTCAAAAATCAGTTTGGTTAGTTGACAAATACAAGCACTACAACTGAAGGTTATAAATTCTGTTTACATGTGAATAAAAAGTTGCAGTGTTACCATGAAAGGAACCATATACCCTACCTTTAACTAACTAGAGTCACTTTCTGCTTCTCTCAGTACACACACAAATACACACACACATATGTGTTTGCACAGTAGTGCCATCCCAGTTATTTTGTCTCACTGTCCCACAGATGAGTGCATACTTTCCAGTTTCCCACAAAGACAAAATAACACACAAACAAGAGGAAAAAAATGCAGCTTCTGTGTTCCATAAATATATTATGAGACAATGACAGCCTGTTTATTTATAGCTGCTTCGCTGCCGTAGAAGCAGTGTATTTTTGTTTTTTTTAAAAAAAGAGGGAGTAGAGGTAGAGAGTAGAAGCTAACACTCTGGACCTTCTGGAGCCTGGAACTTGGCAGCGGGCCTCAGGGAGAGCGTGTCCTTGTTAAGGCCAGTCGTCTAGGGTCCTATAACCCACCACTGCTGCCTGACATCTGGGGCTATCTAGCTGGGATGAGGCTGAATGCATGCTGGGTAGTCCAGCGCACAGGCACACTGCAAACAGCAGGGTCAAGGGTCAATTCACTTTCAGTTTCATCTATTAAGGAAGCCTGTTGAGAACTACAACACAATTATTACAGTTATTCAGTGCTATGTTTGAACATTTCTGAGAAATGTCAGTAGCCCTGTAAATTACAGTTTCAGTTTATATTTGTAATTGGGTGAAGTGAAGTAAAAAGTACACAGCGGATTATTTTGTTTTCCTTAACAACAAAGCAGTAGAGGTGCACTACCAGGAAGTGCTTAATCCTCTTGAGTAGACAGTTTAGCTGTTGTTTAATACACTGGCAGCATAAGGAGAAGGATGTACATCAAAAGGTCTGCTCCACAGGGCCATACTGAGGTCACGCACCCACCCTCAAATCCCATGGAAATTTTCCAGTGTCTAATTGACTCAGCTCTTAAATACAGTTTGGAAAACTTTTTTTTCTTTTTTTAAACAGAGTTTAGAAGAGCATTCATTCATTCCGTATTTCCTAATTGTGCTCGGCCAAGAATATTTAAATAAAAAAGTGTAGCTCTGTCAGGAACTTTAGACCAGCTACACAAGCTAAACGTTAACATCAATGATGATGCTAAGTCATGTAGTTATAACTAATACCACGGTTGTCATTTTTTCTATGTGCCACCAGCACATTTATCACAAGCAAAGAGTAATGCTGAGGCTAATCGGTCACAGATTTTGATAGGCACTCTTGTCACTTATCCATGGCAAACTCTCTGGTAGTTGTTGAAAATTTACTCAGACTATGGGGGGGGAAGTCAGTAGATCATCAAAGTGATCATAAATTCAAACTGAACTTTTAAACCAATCCATCAAGTACTGGAAGATCATCCACTAGTGATGGAAACTCATAACAGCCGTTTCATGAGCTGAAGATATTCAGAAAAAGGTGAAATAAAGTGGACCCATGGTTTTAGAGCTGCAACATATTCTGTCAATGCATATCCTTTATTTATAATTGGCCTAATGACACATAAAACATCCAGTATAGTAACAAGAGAAAATTATTGGGTGTATCATTTTCTTATGCCCTCTGTTATCCATCCATCCAATCGCTTCCGCTTATCCTTTTCAGGGTCATGGGGGGCGCTGGAGCCTATCCCAGCTGTCATAGGGCGAGAGGCGGGGTACACCCTGGACAGGTCGCCAGTCTGTGCCCTCTGTTATATAGAACAAAATGTTGAGTCTCCTTATATATCAGTCCATGGGACAGACTAGAAACTTTGCATAAACATGCTTCTCGCTGTCATCTCGGCTTCCCACTGAGTTTCATCCTTATGTCGTTTTTAAGTAATGACGCTTACTGCCTCTGCTGAAACCCTTACAACAGAGTCATCAAGTCCTTTGGTGCTTTTGGGATACCAATGGCTGAAATTACAGATGTGCAAAGATGTTAAGGTAACCTCTGTAGAAAGAGTCGACGATGGGACTCTTTATGAGGTCTGGTAGTAGTAATTTGTAATTTGCCCCTCTTTGGTTATGTATGTGTGGATGAACATAATTTTATTTTGCAATTTAGGAAATATTTTGACATAAAAAGTTCTCCTACTCACTTTGACAAATGTTAGAGCATGTCCTGTGCATGTCATGTTCATCCTCAGGTTAAGCCAGTTCTTCCCATAAACACGATAAAAGGTTAACAAGGTAACATAAACAGTATATTAAATCGCAATCTGCATCCCCATACAACATAAGTAATGATAATGATTAAGGTTAATAAATAACATTTCACAGTATTCACCCAGTTACTACGTTACTCGTGCAGCTGAAATACATGCAAGTTTAAAAAAAAAAGAAGCAAGTCGGAAAAGCCTGAATAGCAGCATTTCTTTCTCCAAATCCAGTATTTGTTTTATAAATATGAATGGTCTATTTGCAGTTACCCATGCCATATGCAGTAATGGCATGGGTAATTGCAAATGTAAAACCTATAAGCAGAAGGTGGTTTCAAACTTTGCTCTGATAACAAGCTGGATGTTTCTTCTCTTGGAAAAACAGAAATCTTTTTGACTTTTCAGATATGTACTTTTTTTTTAATTTTCAGTTTTAAATGCAGCAGCAAACTGTTTTTTTTTACTGACAATGGTTAGTTAATTTCATTTTAAACTCTATGGTGTAAAGACAGAACATGTTTTATTACAGTACAAACCTAAACTTCATAACTTGTGTTCATTAACATGAGTGAAGTGGATGTCATTAGCGAGAAAAAAGCGAGCATTGATCAATTTCACTCTGCAGTGCTGTGCTGTGCTAGCCACTCCATTTCTCTTTCCCTCCCTGGGCAGTTTAGAGTAAGTGCATGCTCAAGGACTACAGAGGTATGATTGCTTTAACCCATGAGGTGCCATTTGTGTTTGTCTCAGTAAAAAAAGCACTATGCTGAAGATATCATTTGTATGTTTTTTGACACTTGGGTGCTAAGATTTTCTAAGGCCTTCTACTTTCAGGCTCTTTGTGTTAGTGGATTTATGTCCTTACATTATTAATACCTCTCTTAAGGGATCTTACGCTGCCAGCATGTTAGGTGTAACCTGAGTATCTTTCTTGAAAGCATCAATTCTCCATCTAGCACTCACAACATTCTCACTTTCAGGTTCTAGCTACTGAACATTGTTGTGCTGTCATAGTGTTGCGAGGAAGCAGTGAGATGCTGTGCAGTATAACTCTGTTGGTCTTTAGCTCAGACATCTTTTCAGTCTGTGCTTGCCTGCATCGAAGCAGTAAAAATGAGCTGAAACAGCAACTGAGACCAGACCCTGTGATGTACCTGTGAAATAAACATACTCCTTTGTGCACACAGACGCTCCTGACACACGTGCATGCACACGTACGCAGAAGCACTCTGACGTCCTCCATGTTTTTATACCCAGGTGTATCTGCATGCAAACGGCCCATTCCGAGACAATCTGATCACACAGCGGAGGTTCGCCCGGTCTGTTCCTTTGCTTGGTGAGAATATCGCCAGGGCGGAATGGAAACTTCATTTTGCAGGGGCTAATATTAGCCTAGGCCTCTGGAAAATTCCTTTTAAATGATCACAAGCTGAGAAAAGTCAAAGAATTTGTTTAGTGTTTTGCCTGACAGTCGTCTCTGCATACACGGCAGTTTGTTTCTTTTTTTTCAGATGTTACAGCACACAGGAGGGTCCTGGGAACACAGATGTGGAAGGAAGGAGGGCAAAAGGAGTTCATACGATGAAATTTAGGATTGTTTGATTGTCTGTCTTGGTCTGAATTACTTTTTCCTGGCACTGATAACAGTTTAACCCTCACATTAGCAAGCACTGTATCCCTGGGTACAACAGTCATGCCTTCAAATCACTTTGCATCACCTGCTCTTTGTGTGATTTTGAATCCCCATAATCCCTGCTACCCTGCTACCTAACTTATAATTCCTCTTTGCTATACAGAAAAACTTAGACTATATAAAACATTTATCCATGATACACCTCAGATTGGTACATTAGACATGTTTACTCCCGCCTGTTTCTTCTCTTTTATAACCAAGCTCACTGTGTGAACCACGTTTAACCGTCTATAACATATGACTCCAACTTTATGACCTGTGTATGTGTGTGTATGATTTGCTAGGAAAATCCCACCTGGCCATAGTTCAGAGGGTGAACAATGAAGGTGAGGGAGACCCTTTCTACGAAGTTCTGGGTATTGTCACCCTGGAGGACGTTATTGAAGAAATCATCAAGTCAGAGATCCTCGACGAGACTGACCTATACAGTAGGTTCCCCTCTTTAAACTCAACATAACAACAGATACAATAAGTTCATGAAAAACAAAACGGATGATAAAATCCCTGAGAATTACCACGCTCCATGTCTCTTAACAGCATTTTTGCATCTTTCAGCCAATCATTTTAATCTCAAATCAAAAGCACTATTTCAAGATGCAACAGCTGCCTGTTGTCATTGCTCTTTGTCACTCTGACTTGGTGTCCACAAACTCTGGAGAAAATGTGCAGTTTACAAGCTAAATGTTCAAGTTTCTAACTATGTATCTCTGCTGTTTGGTGCCTTGTGGGTACTGTGGGGTAGAGCCAGTTTGTGCAGTTTTTGGTTCACACTAATGAGTGCAGCGGGACTGAATCAAAGCAGTAAAGCTGGCTGCCAGAAATGCAAAATATTGTGCTAAAAACATCTCTGCAGAGCTGCAGTGATAATGCTCTATGGGTTCATGCCTATAAATGACAACTTTCTCATTATATGCAGATAATGGTAGCTTCAAACCTCTGTTCAAGAATACATTTTTGAGATGATGTGTTAATTGGAGTTTGTTGGAAATTGAGTTGTTTTGAGAATGCTACTCTTGGTGAGCATTTTATTTACTCTAAATTTACATATTTTTTACTGAGAAGATTGTCTTGTTTGTGTTGTGCACCCAACATCTGATTTTTTTTTCCACAAGCAGAGATTATTTTCAAAAGATATATATAAAGAGTTTCTTAACATGACTCTTATTTATTATTTATATTTGACGCTCTAAAGCATCTGCTAAGTTTATTCAGCATCTGAAACAATCCATTTTAGCTCCTCTGATTGGCTGCCTCTTACAAACAGAAGGTTTAAACATCAGGTGTGTCGATCTATCTATCTATCTATCTATCTACAGTGGGGCAAAAAAGTATTTAGTCAGCCACCGATTGTGCAAGTTCCCCCACCTAAAATGATGACAGAGGTCAGTAATTTGCACCAGAGGTACACTTCAACTGTGAGAGACAGAATGTGAAAAAAAAATCCATGAATTCACATGGTAGGATTTGTAAAGAATTTATTCGTAAATCAGGGTGGAAAATAAGTATTTGGTCACCTCAAACATGGAAAATCTCTGGCTCTCACAGACCTGTAACGTCTTCTGTAAGGAGCTTTTCTGTCCCCCACTCGTTACCTGTATGAATGGCACCTGTTTGAACTCATCATCTGTATAAAAGACACCTGTCCACAGCCTCAAACAGTCAGACTCCAAACTCCGCCATGGCCAAGACCAAAGAGCTTTTGAAGGACACCAGGAAAAGTATTGTAGACCTGCACCAGACTGGGAAGAGTGAATCTACAATAGGCAAGCAGCTTGGTGTGAAAAAATCAACTGTGGGAGCAATCATCAGAAAATGGAAGACATACAAGACCACTGATAATCTCCCTCGATCTGGGGCTCCACGCAAGATCTCATCCCGTGGGGTCAAAATGATCATGAGAACGGTGAGCAAAGATCCCAGAACCACACGGGGGGACCTGGTGAATGACCTGCAGAGAGCTGGGACCAAAGTAACAAAGGTCACCATCAGTAACACACTACAACGGCAGGGAATCAAATCCCGCAGTGCCAGACGTGTTCCGCTGCTGAAGCCAGTGCATGTCCAGGCCCGTCTGAAGTTTGCCAGAGAGCACATGGATGATACAGCAGAGGATTGGGAGAATGTCATGTGGTCAGATGAAACCAAAGTAGAACTTTTTGGTATAAACTCAACTCGTCGTGTTTGGAGGAAGAAGAATACTGAGTTGCATCCCAAGAACACCATACCTACTGTGAAGCATGGGGGTGGAAACATCATGCTATGGGGCTGTTTTTCTGCCAAGGGGACAGGACGACTGATCCGTGTTAAGGACAAAATGAATGGGGCCATGTATCGTGAGATTTTGAGCCAAAACCTCCTTCCATCAGTGAGAACTTTGAAGATGAAACGAGGCTGGGTCTTCCAACATGACAATGATCCAAAACACACCGCCCGGGCAACAAAGGAGTGGCTCCGTAAGAAGCATTTGAAAGTCCTGGAGTGGCCTAGCCAGTCTCCAGACCTCAACCCCATAGAAAATCTGTGGCGGGAGTTGAAAGTCCGTGTTGCTCGGCGACAGCCCCAAAACATCACTGCTCTCGAGAAGAGCTGCATGGAGGAATGGGCCAAAATACCAGCTACTGTGTGTGCAAACCTGGTAAAGACCTATAGTAAACGTTTGACCTCTGTTATTGCCAACAAAGGTTATGTTACAAAGTATTGAGTTGTATTTTTGTTATTGACCAAATACTTATTTTCCACCCTGATTTACGAATAAATTCTTTACAAATCCTACCATGTGGATTCATGGATTTTTTTTTCACATTCTGTCTCTCACAGTTGAAGTGTACCTCTGGTGCAAATTACTGACCTCTGTCATCATTTTAGGTGGGGGAACTTGCACAATCGGTGGCTGACTAAATACTTTTTTGCCCCACTGTATCTATCTATCTATCTATCTATCTATCTATCTATCTATCTATCTAAAGTGTTGGGGAGTAACGGAATACATGTACAGGCGTTATGTATTTAAAATACAAAATATGAGTAGCTGTATTCTGTTACAGTTACTGTTTAAAAGCGTGGTATTCAGAATACATTGACTTTGTTGAAATAAATGGATTACACGGTGGTCTTTTCCTGTTTCACATGTTAGGCTATGCCATCTATTTTTGGTAATTCCACGCCGGTGGAAACCCAAACAAAACACGCATTAGGGGCTCTAATGCCTGCATCTCAATCTCGTGGCCCATGTCAAACCTAGTTGCGGCCGCATAATGACGTGAAGAAATATTTTTTAAATTATTCACAAAAATGATTTAATATGAAGGCAATAGGCAGAATGTAGCCTGATGGGCAGTGTAGTGCGTGCTGCAGGGAGAATGGACTGCCATACCTGTGTGTGTGTGTGAGCGCGAGGAAGGGAGAAAAAGGAGAGTGGAAAGTCCGAGTTGACACCGAGCAGAATCGGGAGATGGAAGCATGTAAATATAATAATAACCACTGCAGCCAAAAAGAGTGCCTGACGAGCCCAGTTGTAAGTAAGCTGTTAAGACTCGACTGTACACTGTGTTCTGTTTTCCTCCGAAACAACCTTTCAACGCCTCTCTCTGTCTCGCTAGCAAAGTTGACCCAGACAAGTTAATGGTGGCTAGTTTTCGGCTACGAGCCCGCCAGAAGTCTCTTTACGACGGCTCGGAGCCGCAAACCTGTTTTATATACGCGCGAATAGTTTTCTATACGAGATCGCTGTAAAAAGTGCAGCCTTACCTAATGTCACCCTACAGTTTCTCATTTTATATTAAGATTTAAAAATCTAGTTGGCATTGGTATGGCGAGTAACCTTCAGTAATAGTAATAAATCACACAGCAATAGTACATTCATGTAGTTATAAAAAGCATGATAATATACAGTGGCTTGCAAAAGTATTCAGCCCCCTTGAACTTTCCCACATTTTGTCACATTACAGCCACAAACATGAATCAATTTTATTGGAATTCCACGTGAAAGACCAACACAAAGTGGTGTACACGTGAGAAGTGGAACGAAAATCATACATGATTCCAAACATTTTTTACAAATAAATAACTGAAAAGTGGGGTGTGCGTAATTATTCAGCCCCCTTTGGTCTGAGTGCAGTCAGTTGCCCATAGACATTGCCTGATGAGTGCTAATGACTAAATAAAGTGCACCTGTGTGTAATAGTGATGTGCGGATCGATCCTGAAATATCGATTCCTCCGATACCAATCATTTATGTTCTAGAATCGATTCTCACATTAAAATATCAATATTTTAGTAATTTAGGGTTAATTTGTAGTTTATCATTAACAGCAACACAGTGGAAAGAAACTATAACATTCGGATTGTCTACATTCAAAGGAACTACTTTCTCTTCCGCCTTTCATAGTCATGTGCGAAATACGGCTGTATAAATGTCTCGCAGCCCCTTGGCGTGCGCACTCGCAACAATGGCTGAGCGTAATTGAAGTCATGTGCGGATGTATTTTACCTCCACACACAGCTGAGACGTGGTTTGCAATACATGTGGCAAAAAAAGTGCTCCAAGAGTGAGGTGTTGTGGCCATACTAGGGAGACATTCAAAAGGGCTGTTGGGGGGGGATACATTTTACAGGGTTTATTTATCGGATAAAATACGTTAAATGTCACCGTTATTATTGGCCGGCCCGGAAACAGCGGGAGTGTCCAAATTCAGAGGAGGACCCGGCCTTCGCGGTCTAAAGAAAGCCGGGTAGTACGTCACGAGCTCCCTCGGTGGAGTGAAACTCAGCCGTCTGCTCCTTGCTGTCTAAAATATAACCGGGAACTGACGTAAACTCTCGACCGTCTCACACTTATGTTTAACCATTTTCTGTTTGACGTTTATTCAGCTGTGTGAAAACCACGGAGGAACCCTTCCGAAGGATTAATAAAGTCAAATTTAATTTAATCAAATCTAATAACTTTAATCTCAGCCAAACCGATTTACTCACGAACAAACGAAACACTGAAAAAGCCAAACAATAACATTTTTAAGTTATCAAAGTGACTTATATATCATGTTTAACCCGAATAGGGAAAGAGGGGGGTGGGTTGAAGACGATCAGTCGGCTCAGATATTTGAAGTTCACACAGCTACATTCTCACCTGAAAATATGTTAAAAGTTTTTTTGCGACCCAAAAAGAGAAATAAGAGTAATATTAAAACTAAGTTGCTGCTGCCAGTGTTGGAAACTGGAATTGGCTGGGCCCGCTATGAATTCTGCAATATGATTTTTCAATTTTGTTGTCCTAGAAAATCGGTCGAAATTTGGGAGAATGGTGGCTCCGGGAGATTTTCGGGAGGGCACTGAAATTTGGTATTCTCTCGGAAAAATCGGGAGGGCTGGCATGTATGGTTGTGGCAACATCACTAACCTTGTCAAACACCTCAGAGTAAATCATATCACAGAATATGACGAGCGTATGTTGAGGTGAACTGAAGAGGAGGAGAGAGTCAGGTGCTGCTAGGGCGAGACAGACGTCTCTCACAGAGTCCTTTAGTGCTGCAGGCAGGCAAGGTGTTCAAATAGCACAACTTCATTTTTTTTATTTCTATATGAAGAACCCTGCATTATTAAGTGATAAGAACAAGTAATCTGATGTCCTGTAATCATTATGACGCTATAATTTGAGATACAATAAATAAAATAAGTTTTTGTACAAAGTATCGGTATCGGATCAGTATCGCCGATACCACCCTGAATATTACTTGGTATCGGATCGGAAAGAAAATCAGTGGTATCGCACATCACTAGTGTGTAATCTAACGTCAGCACAAAAACAGCTGCTCTGTGACGGCCTCAGAGGTTGTCTAGGAGAATCTTGGGAGCAACAACACCATGAAGTCCAAAGAACACAGCAGACAGGTCAGGAATAAAGTTATTGAGAAATTTAAAGCAGGCTTAGGCTACAAAAACATTTCCCAAGCCTTGAACATCCCACGGAGCACTGTTCAAGTGATCATTCAGAAATGGAAGGAGTATGGCACAACTGTAAACCTACCAAGACAAGGCCGTCCACCTAAACTCACATGGCGAACAAGGAGAGCGCTGATCAGAAATGCAGCCAAGAGGCCCATGGTGACTCTGAACGAGCTGCAGAGATCTACAGCTCAGGTGGGGGAATCTGTCCATAGGACAACTATTAGTCGTGCACTGCACAAAGTTGGCCTTTATGGAAGAGTGGCAAGAAGAAAGCTATTGTTAACAGAAAACCATAAAAAGTCCCGTTTGCAGTTTGCTACAAGCCATGTGGGGGACACAGCAAACATGTGAAGAAGGTGCTCTGGTCAGATGAGACCAAAATGGAACTTTTTGGCCAAAATGCAAAACGCTATGTGTGGCCGAAAACTAACACTGCACATCACTCTGATCACACCATCCCCACTGTCAAATATGGTGGTGGCAGCATCATGCTCTGGGGGTGCTTCTCTTCAGCAGGGACAGGGAAGCTGGTCAGAGTTGATGGGAAGATGGATGGAGCCAAATACAGGGCAATCTCGGAAGAAAACCTCTTGGAGTCTGCAAAAGACTTGAGACTGGGGCGGAGGTTCACCTTCCAGCAGGACAACGACCCTAAACATAAAGCCAGGGCAACAATGGAATGGTTTAAAACAAACATATCCATGTGTTAGAATGGCCCAGTCAAAGTCCAGATCTAAATACAATCGAGAATCTGTGGCAAGAAGAAGGGGCAAAGATTTCAGTCTCTAGATGTGCAAAGCTGGTAGAGACAAACCCTAAAAGACTGGCAGCTGTAATTGCAGCAAAAGGTGGTTCTACAAAGTATTGACTCAGGGGGCTGAATAATTACACACACCCCACTTTTCAGTTATTTATTTGTAAAAAATGTTTGGAATCATGTATGATTTTCGTTCCACTTCTCACGTGTACACCACTTTGTTTTGGTCTTTCACGTGGAATTCCAATAAAATTGATTCATGTTTGTGGCTGTAATGTGACAAAATGTGGAAAAGTTCAAGGGGGCTGAATACTTTTGTAAGCCACTGTATTAAGTAATCCAAAGTATTCAGAATACGTTACTGTCATTGTGTAATGTAACGGAATACGTTACAAAATACATTTTAAAAGTAACCTTCCCAACACCATCTATCTATCTGATCTCCTGCTGAATTTGTAAGTTTATTTAATTTAAAAAGAAATGAAAAGTCTAATTTCTATTGCAGTTTAAATATTATTGGAGTGAAATAAGATTACCAGGCAAACTATGACTCTGTTTCTTGTAGTTAGTCACCAGGTTTACACACATCTCATGAAGGATTTTTGGGCCACACCTCTTTATAGAAACTCTAAATCCTATTGGCTGCCCTTTGGCAATTTGAAGCTTCAGCTCCCTTTCACGGATTTTCTATAGACTGAGGTCTAGAAGCTGGCAAGTCCATTCCATGACTTTAATGTGCTTCTTGAACCACTCCTTTGTTGTCCTGGTGGTATGTTGTGGGTTGTCATGCTATCAATGACCTCAGTGTTCTGGCTAAGGGAAAGTGGTTCTCCTCCAATATTTTATGATACATGGCCCATTCCATTGGCCCCTCAATTAGTCCAAGTCATCCTGTACCCTTAGAAAAACAGCTCCAAAGCATAATCTTTCCATGTCCTTGCTTGACTTGGGGGATGGTGTTCTTTGGTTCATTCTCAGCATTACTCTTCCTCCAAATATGGTGGGTTGAGTTGATACCAAAGAGCTTGAACTTTGTTTCATCTGACCACACCAATTTCTTCCAAACCTTCTCCGAATCATTCAGATATTCCCTGTAAAACTAAAGACAGATGTCTACATGTGCCATCTTGAGGATTTGGGTGGGTGGGAGGTGCTGTTCTTGGTGACTGTCCTTGGTGACTTCCCAACTGCCCTTTTAGGTTGATCCACCACCTTTCTCATTTCTCATTCTTCCATTTCTGAATAATTACAGCAGTAGTTGTCATTTTCTCACCAAGCTACTTGCTGGTCTTGCAGCCCGTTCCAGCTTTGTGCAGGTCTGTGGTCTTGTCCCCGATGTCCTTTGACAATTCTTTGGTTTTGCTCATATTGGTGGAGAGGTTGGAATGGAAAATGATTCTGTGGACAGGTTTGATGTATATGCATAACAAGTTGCCCACATGGCAACTCATGATCTGTGTGGCTATATGGCACACAGATCAAATACTTAATCAATGCCATGCAAATCAATTTCTAAATCGATTTATAATTTTTTTGAAATGTGCTTTGTTCTGGATTTTTGGTTGATATTCTGTTTTTCTCTATTAAAATGAGACTGCAATAAAAAGTAGAGATTGTTCATTTCTTTGAAAGTGAGCAAGCCTACAAATTCATCAGGGTATCAAATAATTATAGGAGTCAAAATACATTCATAATCATGGACAACCATAATTAATATTTTACCTTCGACTTTGTAAAAAATGATGGTATCTGTGTACATGGAGTACGTGCCAGTACTTCTGTAATGCCGGGAATGTGGTAACAATGTAGCCCTCCTATAGCTCTGCTGTAGTTCTCAGAAAGTCAGCACTGCTACTTTTATGGAAAACAGTAATCAGTGCAGGGTAACTCAAGTTTAGTCACCTTTTGACCCGAAATGACTAGCTCAGCGTCAGAGGAGTGTCGTGGACTGATCTTTTCCTGTTTCAGCCAACCTGTTGCAGGTTGACTCTTACACCTGACTTTTCATTTTTCCCTCCTCAGCTGACAACAAGACAAAGAAGAAAATCACACATCGGGAAAGAAAGCAGGATTTCTCGGCCTTCAAGCCTACCGACAATGAAATGAAGGTTAAAATATCACCTCAGCTTCTGCTGGCTACCCTGCGTTTCCTAGCAACAGGCAAGTGGGCTGCGTTGCTGCTTGACTTCCCCCAGTGTGCCCTCAGCCCCTCACTGTGGGGAAAGTGTGTGTGTGAGTGTGTTTGTGTGCCCATACGGGCTTTGAGTTTTGGGCAAGTGGGTGTAGAGAGGAGGAGGTGTGAGTATTTGTGTAGCATGAGTAGCTGTTGTGTGCGTCTATGTGTGAGGGAATGAATTGCGTGGGGACTCACAACAAGTGTGCTGGTATGTATGTGTAAAGAGGTGGAAGGCCTCTCTATAAGCCCAACACAGGATGTCTGCAGAATGGACACGGGTCCAAAAAAATGCAGGCGTTTATTTGCTTGCGTGTCATGCACAGAAGGTTACATGTTGAGATCTTTGCTCACAGCTTTAAAAACACCACCCTGTTTGCTTACACTCGTTCCTCAGTGACATCACGTCCAGGATTTTTGGCCTATAATCGCAGTTCTCACACAAGTCGACATACTTGGTTACTTACTAGCGTAAAATGTGAAATATTTCACCCGCTTTCCCTCGGGAAATGGATTTCAGAGCAGGCAGCAAGTACTACTACACCAGCAGCAGCGGTTCACTATGCCTCATTGCAGTTGGATTTGCTTTAGAACTTTGACCTGGCAGCTAAGCGTTGATTAAGTTCCTCTAAAGGCTATTAGGGAGTTTAGTTCCTGGTGGTGGAGCCAGCAGCCAGCTGACACATATCACCGCTGATGAGTTGAAGGAGCTGATTGGCCCAATAGGTGGTTGAAGAGGACCAGACACAATGAGGGGGAAGGGGGTGTCTCTATTAACATTTATTGAAATTTTTGGCCCCTTATGTATGGCTCTCACCTCACAAAAATGCAGTAACGGTTTATACAGTTTCTGCAGCAGCACAATGTTGCTAATATTTTGTATTTTTGTTATCATGTAAAAACCAAACCATCAAAATGTTAACTTTTTTGTTAGGGTGTGGTTCTTACAGTAATTTAATGAATTGATTTGAGGGGGAAATGCTTACTTCAGCAATATTCTGTCTTCCTATTAACTTTAATGAAATTTGGCATGGTCATTCATCTGGAGCTTGGTAACCGACAGATAAGCGGCACTGATCGCATGCCCGTGATTCATCTTTCGCCTTAGCGAGTAATTTGTCAGCCACTGCTATTTGTACTATTTGTTTTACTGCAGCAGATGATTTTTCCAGCTATAGCTCTTATTTATACTTTATTTAATTATCATATGATCACTTTGCCACTTTCGCAAGAACCAATCTTTCATCCAGTGTTTAAGAACATGTTTCACCTAGTTAATGTTTTTTAAACTTTTGTGTAAACCAGAGATAAGATAAGCTACAATTATCCAATATCTGTTTAACATGCGAGACCCATGGTGACAAATATTTCCCATTTTATCCTGGCTGAGCAGATAGTTGTATGCTAGTTCACTGAGTTTAGTTTCCCTTATGTAATCCTTCTCTTTATGACTATGATACAGAGTGGGTCCGATCTTCCCTGCTATCCATGGACAATATATGCTTTAATTTTGACTTTAAGAACATATGGAATGTAAGCTCCAGAATTTAAGTGATTATCCCTAATAGATTACACAAGTGATCTATTTCTATATCCCCTGTTTTGATGTTGGAAAAATAAGTTTATTGTCTACATATATCATTACCCTAAACTAAATATATTTATTGCCATGCCATCAAAATTAATAATCTGTGAGCCATTTTCTATTAAATAATCCACTAGGTCAGTGATAAATAATGCAAACAACAATTATACAATTGATTCATTTAAAATCCTACAAAGACTTGAAAATACACATGATTTTATTTTTTTAATCTTAAAATTTCCTCTAATATGAGATTTTAATCTCTGAAATTCCTTACTGCGACAAGTAAAGGAACAAAGCCTTGTAAAGGAATCTTTCCAGAAATATCCCAGAACCTACATAACTTTGCATTTGATATATTTACGTTAGGTTTATGTGGTTAACTCAAAAACTATACCTCTGTCATTATTAAAATCCAGTTTTACAGTTTCATCTTTCACTTTTCCTCTTTTTTAAACCGAGAATTTCTACTAAGTCGGTTTCTGCCGCTTTTGCTGATGTCATTTTCAATATAATCTTTGTCTAAAATCAGTTTAAAACAATATGTTAGAAATAAAATATTAAGAATACAAATATAAGTTTGCCGGGTCTTTGGTTTAAAAAAAATAGGCCAGCTTATATACATGCCTTTCTTTGGATAAATGTAAGTAAAACTGCCACATTTAAACACATCAAACCTTTGTCTGCACAGGTAACAGCACCATGTGGCCCCCTTGGAAAACTAATTGCCCATCCCCAAACTAGTATGTGCTCAGTGGCAAACAAAATTTTCAAACCATCAGGTGACATCACGGTGGCGTTTTTCTTGTAAATAGTCCATGAACAGTAATACTTTTTTAGGACTAATTTCTTTTATGTTTTGGAATTTTCATGGCAATAAGGGAGATATAAGAATAATTTTATTACATTGATATAATTATTTAACTTTTCATAAGAAATGAAATGTTTTGTCTTACCACAGTCTTTTTCTCTCCTTGTCTCTTCAGAGGTTGAGCCATTTGCACCGATGCAGATGTCAGAAAAGATTCTGCTGCGCTTGTTGAAGCATCCAAATGTGATCCAGGAGCTAAAATACGATGATAAGAACAAGCGGGCACCAGAGCACTACCTCTTCCACAGGAACAAACCTGTGGATTATTTCATCCTCATCCTGCAGGTGTGTGGACACAACGAGTTTCAAGGTGGAAGGATACATCAGTAGTCTTTGATTTTTTATTTTTATTTTTTAAAACAACAACAAAAAACCCCACTACATAACCAGTTTGGGAAAATGTAAATATTGATATGTATTTTAGGTTTAACATTAAAAAAAATAACGCAAGTATTCTAACTCTGCTCATGCAGGATAAGTTCATTTTACCTGCATCATTTAGTTCCATTATTTCCTTCTGCCGTCACTACAGATGAATAAACAGTATATACTATGTGATCAGTTTAAAAATGCTGCTTGTAGCACTGCAAGCATTCGTTTTCCTCTGGCCTACAGTTTTTCACGGTGTAGTCATCGATCTAACAGAGTTGTACTGCCCGAGTTTGTTCCCACAGAAGCCATGCATCCCTAAGGTATGCGCGGTATGACTGTACTGTAGGGCAGTTTAAACTAAAACAAGCAATAATACTATAGATAAGAAGCTAATTAGTTATAATAATGTCTGACCTAAGAGATACAGCATTTTAAAAGACCAGTGCCACATACCATAGCATTTATAGCATGAGCAAATTTATTGTGCCAGTCCCTAGACGGGTCTTTAAAGTAGTACCATAAAATGAAAGATAAACCAGATGATCCATGACTAATCCAAAAATTGTTTCAGTTTGAGTTTAAAGTTGTTATCCTGTTTGAGTTCTTTGTGGTAAGCGTGAGAATGTGTGACATCAGTATGTCCCAGATGAGTCTAACCCTGATGAAATTCAGTGAAATCAAACCATGAAATATTTACCTTCTTGAGAAAATTTCAGTCGTGTGGTTTCTTAGCCAGACATTAATTGCACAGTCATACAGTATGACCAATACGAGTCCTGCTTATAACCAATAAAATACTTAATTATTTACTTATTTAGTTAATTACTTCTCAAATGTATTCAGTATATGGTTCATTAATCTTGGAGAATAATTTATTTGACAAATAACTTCCAACATTTAAAAAAATTAGACACAGTTGTCCTGATAAATTGTTTTGTTTATCTACAAGAAATAGAAACAAGAGCGTTCAGTATCATCTATGCGCCTAAATAATGCAATAAGCAATAAATAAATAAAGGTTTGGGCTAAACACACTTTACAGGTGTTTTGGATAACGTGTCACAGTCAGGCTGAATTTGTCAAGTTCATCAGTACCCATGTTCATCTGGACAAGGAGTTAGAGAACTCTTCTTGTTCTTCTTGTGCCTGCTTTACTATTACTGTGGAACCAATCGCACATAGTTTTGGACAATGCATACGTCATCTAAGCATCTTATGTGCATAAACACATCAAAGCTGAAAACAAGCAGGCCAAAAACGGAACCCTGTGGGATTCCTGCATTATCCTCAAAATGAAGTTTTCTGATTGTTACACAGTGTTCACATTTAAATGTTATAATTTGAACTATCATAGAGTGTGACAGGAAATGTCTTAGAAAGTCAAAGTTAAGCATCATTCAGAAAAAAAACTTTAAATAGGAACCAAACTGAACTTAAAACCTTTTAAAATCCAAGCTATGACACCAGCCTTAATGAAAATCTTTCACCCTGCAAATCTTGGAAACACATTTGCGTAATAATTATATATGATAATATATAATAGTTAGTGTATTCAATAGTGTATAGATCACGGACTTCTGCACTTCATGTAGCTTTAGTCTCAGGTCTGAAAGCAGCCCTGAATTTCTGCACTGTTTCTGATATGCCGCTGGAGCCAGCACTATTGTCTTATTCAGGGAGGGTATTGGGACTTCTCTGTACGCCTTAAAGGGAAGTCCCAAATAACTGTTCCTAAAGTGAGCTCAAAGTCTTTATTGCAAAGGTTTGCAGACTTTGTATATTTCCCCTATCAGGTCACTAAGTCGACATGTATATTAGCCTTGGATTAAATAAGGTTCTGCTTGAGCAAGTGTGGGGTCATTGCCCTTGAGACCCAGCTTAGAAGCAGATTGGGAGCTATTAAACAGAGTGAGGATTTTCTACAAGTAGTAAAAAGGAAAGGAAACAAGGGAAGCAGGGTGGATTTATTATAATCTCACAGACAGGAAGTAAAAAATAAAGCATAAAGTTAAAGGAAATATCGTAAAACCAGCACAAATAAGTAATCTTTTGTTTAACTAAGCTGATAAGTTGATATATAATGTGTTGAGCACTTACATACTTTTAAGATAATTCATGATTCTTTTCCTTGGCTGTCACAGGGGAAGGTGGAGGTGGAAGCAGGAAAAGAGGGGATGAAGTTTGAAGCGGGACCATTCTCCTTCTATGGGATAATGGCTCTGACAGCCTCACCAGGTAAGATTTCTTGATCTAGGTCTTAAATTTTTATACCCATGAACGTGAATCCTAACTTCTAGGGAATCTCACTCGTCAGCCTCCTTTGAGAGGGTCTGGACAGAAGAATCCGCCTGTTAGTTTTACCTCACAATCAGGAGCAAAACTGCAGTTTTCGTTTCACTCATTGTGGAATACTTGGAGGTGGGTGGGACTTTGCCAAACCGGTCTACATGTGTTCTGTGAACTAGTGGAAGTTTGGTTTGCATCAATGGCGCTGATGTCAAGCTCACTTTAGGTGGGTGTTTGACTAAAGTGTTGTTTGTCACTGATTCTGGTTCACAGGTATGGGCAGAGTAAAGCAGGAGATGAGGATCTTGTACTGATCTGCTGCGGGGAAGAGAGAGCTGAGCTTAAAATTGAAGATGTTGAGTCACCAGTTGATTTAGGTTCCTAGCCTGACTGAAACAGTGAGGTTACAGCTACAAATGGCAGAAATGAGCTTCCTGCAAAGGTTGTCTGATTTGGGAGGGGCTTAGAGTAGATGTGAGGTGATTCAGGCTCTGACAGGATGCCTCCTTGGTACCTCCTAGGTTAGGTGTTTTGAGCATATCCTACCAGGAGGCCCGTCCAAGATAGACTCAGGACACACTTGAGAGGTTATATCTCTCAGACTTGGAAATATCTTGGGATGGGGAGGTCTGGGCATCTGTGCCTAGACTGCTGCAAATAAAGGGATTGCTTTCTACTCTAGCTGAGCGCTTGAAGTGCTTTTTGCTATTAGTCTCAATAACACACTTTGTTTTTAGACCTAAGCACTTTATCTAACATTGAAAGTGCACACACACTCCAATAGTTGCATTGTTCAGTATCCAAAGACTTCCGCATGTAGCTAGGGATCGAACCACTGAACTTCTGACTGGTAGATGACCTGCTCAAGCGAGCCATCCACCCCATAGCCAGAAAACTGGCAGAAGATGGATGGATGGAAAGAAAACCCTGTGACAGAAAAATGATATTATTAGTAAGTAAAATGTTAAAATGCAGCTGGACGAGTAGCTCTTCTCTCTGGGTTTGTGATATAGACCATTTACAGTGTGATCCACTGTAGCTTGTTTCCAGTAAAATATGTTATAGACTGCTCATATGAAGAATTAGAGGTTTTACTACTTCTTTATGCTTTATAGGTACTGGAGGTCTTATAAGACTTGCAGCGCACTAGGATTTACTCATAAAATTGTCATTTTTCACCTTGTTCTCATGCAACATAATTTTAAAAATTACGTATGGATAAAGTACTCATCATGTTACATGAGAAAAATGTGAAAAATGCCACTTTTGTGAGTAAAAAATAATATAATAATAACTCATAAGTCCTAATATGATAACATAATAAATCAAGAGAGGTCATGAAAATGCATCATCTAGTGATCCACTCATGCTTCTCTGTTCATTCATAAACTACAGCACTGTCCTCGCTATTAGACTGATTCATTTGGGTGGTGTGATTTGAGAGACACCTACTGGTGAAACAGTAGAATAACTCTCCTGTGGTGGATGTGTGCACTCTAAGAAATTAAATCAAATGCTTCATGGTTTGTGCCAGTTTTCATCTTAAGCTGATCAGTAGAGGAACAACAAGTTAACACTTCTTTTCTTTAATCAGATGTTATCATATATAATTGATTAAATTACCCATTTTCTCGACTTTAACAATCTCGTCTTTCTGTCTTCTCGCTTCTTTTGTCTCTCTCTTGTTTCATCCCTCTCTCCCCCAAGTGCCTCTGTCACTGTCTCGTACATTTGCAGTCAGTAGGGCTGAGTCATTAGCAGGATCTCCAGGTACAGTGGATTTTCAGTATCACCTCTCACTCTATAACCTTTAGTGAATAGTGATGAAATTTCATTATTTGAAAGAGAATGTTTTGTTGATATTAAATAGACGCATGAAGTTGTAGAGTCACAGTTTCACCTACCTGCATGCTTTACCTAAATATACCTGAGTGTGTTTAGCCTTTTGGTTTTCATAGTCTGCTTGAGAACTGACTTGTTTTGTGTGACTTTCAAAGAAAGTGTTCACTGTCTGTTTGTCCCTGAATGCAACATACACTGTAAACTTGTGTGTGTGACACTAAAAGAGAAAGAGGCAGAGTGGAAAACGGATCCAGACTGAGGCTTAACATCCTCGTCTCCTGAGCCATTAGTCAAGTCGCTGAATGGTGTTGGAGACTAGAGGCCCCAGAGTGGAACCCGGCTCCGCCCCGCTCGCCCCTAACCTTTAACCCCCTGACTACATAAACAAGACCTACAGCTACAGCCCCCTGCTGGACACCACTGAGCACACATACAAAGACATGCACATATGCATATGTTCACATTTACAGGCCCATGAACAAAACCCACAATACTACACACATAGAAGGGCTGCTTTGAAAGTGAATTAAAAGTGAACGCACCCATAGGAAATGCTGTGGAATAAATACACTTTCATTGTGTCTGTAGTAGAGGCCTACAGTGCTCACGTTGGTGCAGTGGCATTTGAGTGTGTGTGTGTTTATAAATCTAGTATGTGTGTTTTCTTGACACAGCACACTGACGTTTTTTTTGTGTCGACCTGGCCCCTAAAAAGTAGAGTACTAATCCACAAGAGTCCACATGCCAGGTCTTTGGCCTACTGTGCTCCCTCTACACACCCCCACACACACACTGTTTTTGCCTCTCACTTCCTCACTCATACACATTCATACACACATATTCCAACATGGGATTACATACATTCCAGTCAGCGTAGTAGCATTAGTGTTGGCCAAGCTGTTTCCACTTTGTTGTGTGTGATTTTCACAAGGCTTCTTTAAGAAGTGGAAAACATAATCTGGCTTTAATTAAAAATAACCAAGAAAAGAAAAGAACAAGTCTTCTATGTGGTAGCACATAGAAGAACGCAGCATCACTGGAGACTGCTATATGAAACTAGAAGACTTACACATAAATTAGATTTCCATACATCACAGCTTTGTACCTAAGACTCAAGCTGGAAAAAAGTCACAGATACAAAGGATCTTAAGTAGTGCTGTACAACTTGGCTAGTTTCAGAGGAAATTTTAAGCATCTTAATGTCCTCAAAACAATTGAGACAAAATTTCTAATTATGTAAAGTTTCTAACTTAAATTTTTTATGTTGTCATTATTACACAGGCCCAAAGAGATCATCTAACAGACAATGAAAAATCAATATTTAGTGTCATATGAACTTTAAGGAACAGTAATATTAGATCAGACTAGCAGAAATGTAAAATAGAGCCCAACTGATACAGGAGTTTGAAAACTGACTGAAAACCAATTCCGGTGTTCTTTTCTGTCAGACACTCGAAAAATAAACAGATTTTCTTTAAATTTGTTATGTGAATTTATGAGTACTTAAAAAGCTAATATGACAACACAGTTGAAAAGTAATCTTGTTTTATTGTCCAAACAAGTCGTGGATTACTTTTTCAGATGAACTGAATCAACCTTTAGGGATTAGGGCCCTTTAAAGTACTTTTGCAGTGCCATGCATTACTTTTGCATTCCAGTATGCTTTAAATTTCTACCAGGGAAGCTGCAAAGGGCCCTCTGATAGACAAACTACACAATGTCCACACTGGAAAAAACATTTAAAGACTTCCTCTCCTGTCTCTACTTTTTTTCATTTTCATTTATTAGCCGTTATAATCATCAGTACTGATATATCAGTAAATAGCTAATAATGTCGATATTTTGGCCCCATGGATAAATCAGTTGGACGAGTGACAACCTTTAATCCCCAAAAACACGCTGTGCCAAAAATTGATCCACCCCAAGGATCAGGTCCCCCAACACAGAGTAATGTAGTGTACGCTGTTATGTGCCGGGAGGATTGGCATGATTTATACATCGGGGAAGCCAAACAACCTCTGGCGAAGCGGATGGCACAACACAGAAGAGCCACCTCGTCACTCGTCAGGCCAGGACTCTGCAGTCTATTTACACCTACAGGCCAGTGGACACTCTTTCAAGGATGAGGATGTACACATCCTGGACAGGGAGGAACGCTGGCCTGAGTGCGGAGTCAAGGAGGCCATTTACGTGAAAAGGGAAAGACCATCTCTGAATCGAGGAGGGGCCTAAGGGTACATCTTTCGCCATCTTACAATGCTGTGATTGCAGCCATTCCCCAACTCTCTGTGAATAGTACTCATGGCCTTTGATAAGTGGTTGTTGATCAATGGTCATGACAATTTGCATAATTAAGATGAAGGAACTGACCTCCCAGCCCATTGTTCCTTCAGTGGTGCTAGTTTCAGTTATTGTGCAAAAGTGCTGTTTATAAGGTTGGGGAAACCTGCAGTCAGCTGAGACTGAAGAAGTCAGTCGGATGAGTGACGAAACGTTTCTCCCTCTGAAAACGCTACGTCCAGATGAACTGAATCAACCTTTAGGGATTAGGGCCCTTTAAAGTACTTTTGCAGTGCCATGCATTACTTTTGCATTCCAGTATGCTTTAAATTTCTTTCTCCTACAGAGAATAAATCTCCTCCACGGCCATTTGGACTGAATCACTCCGATTCTCTGAACAGGAGTGACCGTATAGATGCCATCACCCCGACTCTGGGCAACAGCAACAACCAGCTCAACTCCTTCCTGCATATATATGTGCCTGATTATTCTGTCAGAGCACGCTCAGACCTGCAGTATATAAAGGTGAGTAAACACAGGGGATCAGAAATTAGCCTGCAATGAGGATTATATGCACATTGTAGGTGATGTGGTGATGTCACATGCAGCTGCGGATTTCCATTTTCTTTTTCCCACTGAGTTCTCAACATTCAACATGAGCAGTTAGAGAATGAAACCAAAGCTTTGGCAGTGCGCTCGCAGCTTTGAGCCATCCATCTGTGCCAATGCTCTGATAGCATCTTCCCCTCTCAGTCTAAATAAATGAACACTGCTAGCAGCAACTATCACAACCATATCAGCCACAAATAAAACTTGCTTTTTGTCAGTGTCAAATGTACTGCTGTAATTTGGATCTCAGAAATCACATTTGCACAAGTCATTTCAATATTCTCCTCCCCAAATTCTCTGCTCTGAAATAAAAACACCTAGAAATACATTAAATATCTGAGGATGGCTGCTTTATGAAAAATAACTTATAAAGTCTTACCTGTCTAAAAGTGAAAAAAATATATCATGTTGCTGCTGATGACATATATTTGACATACATGACATATTTTTGTCCTTTTATATTAATATTTCTATTTATACCCATATCTATATATTTATCTTAACATTTATCTATCAATATCTCTGTACACTGTCTATGCACACATACACTCTCAGTCAGGCAGTGAGACACTTCATTTTATACGAGTGCTTGACATTTGTTGTATATTTGCTCAATTTCCCTCTGGGATTAATAAAGTCGCTCTGATTCTGTTTCTTCTAAGTAACGAATAAAGTCACTGCTGTTGTGCCAGATGTGTAAATGTGGCAAATCTCTTGCTTTGGAAATGTTCATTGATGAATTCTGCTGCTTCATGAGGCTGTTTTTGTTCATTCTGCTTATCAGCCGCGAGGCACAAATAGAGCTCTGACGTAACTGATGTACTACTTTCTACGATGTTTTATTACTTCCTTTTAGGGTCCCGGGTACCAAATCAATAGAAAAGATCAAAAAGCAATTACCTAACTGATATAAATTGACAGTAAGATAATTACTTCATGACAATTTAAAACATTTAGATTTGATGAATCATGGATAGCTCCAGAGTGTAGCGGTTTACACATTACACACAAAAGGTTGCTGGTTTGATTCCAGCTATAGAAACAAATGAAGATGAGTCATTTTCTGGCTTGTAGTAATATTCTTGTCCTCTCACTGGACACTAAGAAGATAATGAAAGGCTATCATTGTAAATTAATCATTACATTTTTTACAGAATATTTTAAAAGCAATATTACTTGTAGCCTTTTCCACATCCTTATTTAGTGTCAAATCCTTGTTTACCGAGCTACCAGCTCTGTGCCACGAATAACGGCACAGCAACCTCTTGTTGTGACACTTGACCCGACCTTCACTGTTTTGTAGGTGACGCGACAACAGTACCAGAACGCTGTGATGGCGTCGCGGATGGACAAGACTCCGCAGTCGACAGACAGTGAGTTCACTAAGATCGAACTCACGCTAACAGAGCTCCACGATGGAGTGGAGAACCCAGCTGTGGTCACCGCCACGGCTACCACCACTATCACCACCCCTGTTGTGGCCTTTGCCGTGGCCAACGAAACGTCCCACCTGCTCAACCAGCAGCAGAACTGTGTGGGTCTTAGCAGGAGCAACCACTCCTCCCACAATGAGGGACCCATCTAGCCCCGCCGAGCCCGGTGGAGACCCAGACCCTCCACCCTGTCTTGTGGAAACACACACACACACACAGTGATGTAGATGAAGATGAGGGAACGTGGGGAAGCGGAGGCAGGTGGAGTGAGGGTTCTGCTCCAATCAGTAGCCCCCAGTCAGTCAGGCAGTGAGACCCTTTCATGAAGGGGCTATGGGGAAGATGGGTGCTGTGTCACCCTGAACACCCCCACCTGAACCCTGTCAGAATCCCTGCTGTACTACACCCTCTTCCGGAGGGTGCACTCGGACAGTACCGTGTTACTGAGCTTCGTTTTTTTGGGACAATCGGACACTGTCAAAGCGGTATCTTGAACAGAGTGCATACACGCACGCACACACACATAACACAGCACTTGCTGTACTTGCTCCTCAGGCCAAAGACTTTGGTCCCCCCCCCCCCCTTTCGTACACTGTTTATGCACACATACACTCTCAAACACATTCACAATCATGCACAGAAGGAAATGCAACTCCCCCACCGGTGCATCTTTCAGGGAGGCTCAGTCAACTGTTGATCCCATCAGCAAGGGCTCAAACCCAAACATGCAGAGAGGTTAGTCAAAGACTGCACCAAAAACCGCTTTGGAAGAAACCGTTAAACCACGAACCAAGAATGTTTTCCTGTATTTATTTATTTTATAATATTGTATGTATATATGTTTGCGTGAAGATATGATATATATATTAAGAAAACTGGCATATGAGCATGCATTAGTGTGCTACAGAAGTAGAATATGCTACATATATGGGGATGAACATCCATTCTTGTATAGTGCATTCAGAAAGATTTCACAGTCTTTGAAGTTTTGTTGTTTTGAAGATTTTTAAAGTAGATTTTTTTTTCTGACAGTCTACACATAACAATACACCGTGAAGAAAAATCAAGAACAGGTTACTGAGGTGCTATGTAAATTAATTGCAAATAACACTCAAATATTCCAGGATATCAGTATTCAGATACCTTACCTAGTACTTTCCTTAGAACATTGCAGAGCTTTGGTGTGCACCAACTATCAGGTCTGTCCAGAGGTGCTGTATTGGGATCAGGTCCTGACTTTAGTTGGGCCACTCTACAAATCCACTACTATATGTTACTGAGATTCTGAGCTCTCTGTAAAAGTTTTTCACTCAGGACTGCACTGGATATAATTCTGCATCCATCTTTCCACATATCTTTACTAGCCTCCCAATCTGTGTCACAGAAAAGAGCTTCCCCAGAGCACGTGTTTGACTGCAGGAATAGCATTAACGATTGTTGCCCAATAATTGTGTGTCTTGTGGTCTGAGATCTTGTCAGTTGCCTTTCAGTTTTTCACAAGTCAATCATGTGCCTTTTTTATTAAGGATTGACTTCCATTTGGCTACTCCACCATGAATGTTTGGTTGTTGAAGTGCTACACTGACAGCAATGTGCACCCCAAACGGCGTGAAATTGGTCTCAAAGAGGTGTTTCCTCAAAAACCTTGCAAACGCTTTGGCTGCTAGCAGGTTGAGTTCATAAGTAGTTTGCATGGAAGATGGTAACTTGTTTGCAAGCATTCACAAACTTCTCGCTGAGGAGTACTAAAATTGAAAAGCGCAATGCTAGCTAGATACGGAGCACGTGTACCTTAAGTGTAAAAGTTGCACCATGCTTTGATTGTTGACTGTTGATAAAGGAAGGAAGCACCAGAGATCAATTGTGAGCTTCAAACAGAATAATGACTCATCTAGATGTTTTAGTGTTTGTTAGTCTGGATAAAAAAGACACTCCTAAAACCTTTTAAGGAGTCAAAACATGGAAATCTTGCGAGGGTGTGAAAACTTTCCGAATGCACTGTATATGAGGAGGTGAGGGTATTTTACAGAAACATATGTATATTACAGATCTTGTTATTTTTACTATTATCCTAAATCAGGCTTATGGTACAATATATTTTTCACCTTTTAAAAAAATCACACTATTGCCTTTAAGAGAAATCATATAATTAATTATTTTTAACAAAGTGCAATGAACCGCAGTTTATTTAAGAGATGATTATGAATAAAAAAATTCACTGTACTATAGATTTACAGATTATATTTGTATGTATGTACTGTATGTATATTTGTTTTTGTCTTAGTCTCTCTTTACCCTTTTGTTTCCTTCGTGTTTTTGCATCCGTTGACCTCAGACACGTCTGCCAGTTCATTTGGGAGTTATGACGCCAAGATTTGTCACCACAGTGTAGCTTCCGGGGTGGGGGGAGGGGTTCGCAGGTAGCGGAGTTGTGTGAAAGTCCAGCATCTATGCATGTGGGGGTTATGTGTCTTTCTTCTGTTGTTGTCAATTTTACGCATAATCAGACTTGATAATTGCACAGTATTAATGACCTCATCTAACATGTTGAGCACCATCAACGTCACAAAAAGCAACCTCGACATTAAACGTGTCCATGAATGATACACAGCTATGTTCTCCCACTTTTTATGTTGGTTTTCTTTTCTGCTCATTGCGTGCCTGTTTAGTCTGTTTCTTTATCCAAAATGTAAGAGAGCAAATATAATAGGGAGAAACGCACCTTTATTTCACTGGGCTTCTGTTATGATGAAGAAAAATAGTTTTTTACTTAATTCAGGTCTGAGGCTAAAAGTTAAAATGCAGTTTTTAAAAGAATTTAGACTAAACTAATTAAACTATAGCCATTTCCCAGTTTAGAGAAAACTGGATATTTTGCAGACTACATTAACTTAGATCACTCTCATGTTTTCTTTTGTCATTATTATGTAAAAATGCTCATAAAAAAAACAAGACAAAGACGAAATCTATTTCTGTGCAAAAGTCTTGAACCACCCCTCATTTCTTTGTATTTTTTGCTTGGAAAATGTGATTTATTGAAATGTGCAAACATACATGGAAATACATGAAGCAAAAATGGAGTTTGTGCAATTCTAACAAGCTTGAAAGTCAATATGTAGTACGAATGTAGAACTGTCTTAGGCAGCTTTCTCATCCTTTCTTTAAGTGATCCTCAAAAGTAGTTCTCCAGGTTTTTGAAGGACATTCAAAGCTCTTCTTAGGATGTTGGCTGCCTTTTGGTCCCACACTGCTTCAGTAATGTTGAGGTCCTGACACTGGGAAGGCCAATCTATGATTTATTGTCTTCTTATCAGTCTATGTCTGTGAAGGTTCTCAGTCATCCAGCTCATCGTAGTCTAAGGAGCTTGAAAAGAAAAGCGTCTGGACTTCTTTAAGTGTCCTTGAAGACGTTTCACCTCTCACACTTGTGTCATGGTCCTTTTCTGCATTTATAATTCCATCAACTTTGAAAAGATTCTCAGTAACACTGTCTGAAATGCATCCCCAAACTGTGGCAGAACCTCCACGCGTTTCGCAGATGGCTGTAGACAGTCACTGTAGGACCTCTCTCTTAGACGCCTCTCTACATATTTACCACAATTTCAACCAAAAATGTCAAATTTTGGATTCACCACTCCATCAGACCTGAGTTTCAGTCCAGTTCTTGTGTGAATTGGCAGACCTCAGCCTTCTCCCCGTTTCCCCTTCCTTAAGTTTCTCGACAGGCACCTTTGAACTGAGACCATTTCTGATGAGTCTTCAGGGAATAGTAAAGGCTCAGATGCATCTTTCCTGTATAAACTCTTCAATGGATTTTCTCCTATTTCTTAAAGATTTGACTTTCACACCCTGTCCATTGCTGCCATTTGTTTTGTCTTTTGCTTATCCAGTTTCCTCAGCATGCAGAGATATGCAAACATTTTCAGTTAGAAGATCTTTGGGAATCACCGTGTTTGTGTACAATATGTGGTAAAGATAAATGCAAGAAAGCCTTCTTTACTTAAAAATATAAAGCCATTTGGGATGACTTAAGACTTACACAGTACCATAAAGTTTGTGTTGTTTTTGTTTTTTAATGCAATGGTCAATGTGCACATTTCTTTTTTTACACATATCACATCTTCTATTAGAAAAGTGAAAAGAATTTGCCCAAAGCATAAATTAAGCAAATTTTTCTAGAAGACATTTTTGCAAATTTGTGTATGTTTAATAAAATAATTACCAATTCTCTTTTTTAAAAATGCATTTCTATCAAGCATGTTATATAGAGAACCACTGACCAAACTGATAAACCAACTGGGAAAGTTTTTAAGGTAATATCTGTCTTAATATTTAAAGGCACTTAGATTTTTCTGAAAAACTACTTTGGTAGCACATAACATCTACCACTACAATTTATGTCCTTCTCTGTATTATGAAGGTTTTTACAGATTTGTTTGCTTACAAGACCTCAGACCTTTTTTATTAAGTATTATTTAAAAGAGACTTTTTTAGGCTGTTGATAGTATTTTCTAGTACAAGTAGAGGCAGTGGAAAAGATTGGGCCTGATCTTTAACATCATATCTAATGTTTGCTTATAGTTAATTTGCTGCTTTACAGGCAACAGAAAATTTCCTAAAGCTCAGTCATCTTTTTAACATTCAGTTGCAGACTATAGCCACTGGTGGTAGCTGTTTCCTATTATATTTCAAGGTATATGTATGAGTGCCCTAACCGTCTCTGCAAGCTGCACACATGGACAAAGAGCCCTTCCATCTGCTCAGATGCGAGGGACGTCCCTGTTGTAAAACCGGTCACAGAGAACATCTGCATTGTTTGCAGCTGCGCTTGCTGTTGTTTATCGTTTACTAGAAAGTGCTCCTATGCAGCAGACCCACTGCAGTCTGCAGGGACGATCACTCCAGAGATAAAACAGTGATTCACACTGAAAGGTTGTGATGTTCAAATTCTGCCTGTGCACCTCAGAGCCCGATGAAAGAAGAAGCATGAGAACTTTTTTTTTTTTTTAAAGTCTGCACGAAACACGGGGGGTGGGGCATCAGCTGTAATGGGGGTGGTTATTTTAATATTCTGTGACACAGAACAAACATACAGTCATTTTTTTCCTCTTACACGCTCCAGCCTCAGCTGAACAGAGGTCATCATTCCTCGATCATGTGAATGTCTTCCAGGCCTGTGTTAAACTGGACTTCTGTCCACCTCTATGCTGCTGTTCAAACCATGTGCTGTCCATAATTCTTCTTCTGCCTGAACGTGACACTCTCGTTGCCTTCTCCAGCCAGTGGTTTAATAAAAAAGTGAATGATTAACAGACAAGGCAGCCGGTGACTCTGTGTGCTACATATGAAGCTGCATCAAATGTTTGCTTTTGAGACAGGACTTCCTCTACTTGACACACGTTTTACTGATACTCACACCAGAGCAGCAATTAAAAACAGGACAATCTTCATCTAACAACCCACCAAGATGGGTCAGGTTAATATCAGTAGAAAACACTTCATTCAAAACACTCAGATGCTAATGGTTCTTAAGCTGTTGGTCATTAACAAAGCCATTACTTAATGAGCAGTAGCTTTGATTACCATTTACCAGCTGTTAAGCATTTAAATCACTCTCAGAGATCCTGATTTGTTTGTAATTCATTCAGAACAACTGTAATGAAAAGAAATATGTTTCTATCTGCAGTGCTATATGTTTAGCAGCATGACTTTGATTTCTCACCTCCCCGACCTTCATCACGTATTTAAGGAATGCAAGACCCATAGCACAGGAGAGGCTGCGTATAAATGGCAAGGCGCAGGAAAACGAAGGTGTGTTGCAAAGCGGCTTTGCTGACATGGCGCTGTAGACTGGTTAACACACTGTAAAAAATGTCCAACTAGATATAGTAAGTTTTCAGCTGAGCCATCACCTAAACTCCATGGATTACATCTCATCCAACTATACTCACTTGCAAACTTTCCCATGTTAGAATTTAGCATCCATTGCTATCCATGTTTTGCTTTATACTTTGTGGAGGATGGAGGACATTAAAAGAAAAATATTGCACCTTAAATGATTAAAACTAAGGACTTTAATGCTGAGTCAGGATTATGTTCTGTTCCAGCAGGAGGAGAAACGGGGTGTGAAAAATTACACACCAGGGTGTGAATAGTACACACCTTGTTTCAGTAGTTTGTAGAAACAGCTTGACCAGCATTACTTGAATGCTTTATGACTTGTAGCCACTCTTCTTTACAGCGTTGTCAGAGGTCTGAGCCTCTGAACAGTCACCCTGACCCTGACTCTTTTTCAGAATTCTGTTGCATTGTATTTGCTGATGTGCTTGGTATGATTGTCCTGTTTCATGACCGAATTCCAGCTCTACTTTAGCTGTTGGACAGACAGTTTAACATTTGACTCTTTGGCATACACACAAATGCAGGGTAATCAGGTCCTGTGCCTGCTAAGCAAACCCAAATCATCACCTCTCTGCTACCGTGTGTTGGTATGGGGTTGTGCTAATACGCCTTCACTAAATGCAATGTGGTGCATTACAGCCAAACATCTCCACTTTGGTCGTTTGTCCAAGAAAATTGTTCCAGAAGTCTTTTGGTTTGTTCAGTTGAAGCTTTGCAAAATAAACAAATAAGGGTTCAATTTGTCATAGATGCCTTCTCCAGTTTAGCAATATTTTTGTTAAATGGAAAAATTTTTTGTTATATTTTAAAACCTGCTATGGATAAAATTACTTTTTTAATTATGTCCTGATGTGCAAAACCCTTTAACTGAGCCTTGAATTTCCCTTAGTCACTGATCAGATGTATATTTGCCACATAAGTGTTAGAAAAGTGAAACCTTATGTCAATAATAAAAATTTTATATGTTAGGAGTATATTAAATACCTTAAATTCTAGTTTTAGCTCTGGACTATAGATACAACAATATGTATCACCTGGTTTCAGGTCCCTTAACACAATATCAAGAGAAGAAAACCCAAGAAGCAACAGCAAAATATTACAAACTATCTTTATTCTACATTTTTATGTAATTTACTTCAATGTACAGTCTAAAGGATAATTTGTGGAAACACACAAAACACTGAAGAACATAAATTGATATGCATAAAAACAAAAGTTTACTAAAGGTTAGAAAATGAACAGTGGAGTTCTTGCACCTGTTAAATACAGATGCATTCTGGGCATCAGAACACAAGATAAAAATCTTCTAAAGCACTGTAACCTATTCACCAGTCTTTAATTAGTTCCAAGTCATAGTGACAGGTTTATGAGATATTGTATAAAAATGAACAAAAAATGTTATATTTTTTAAAGAAAATCATATGAAAAGGAAATGGCGAGGTCTATTTACAGTTCTGTAAACAGAGACCATTGGAAAACACTAGCTTAGAAAAGTAAAAATCCCATGATGCTGATGACAAGTAACAAATTATGATACTTAACATGCTAGTCACATTTCCCTTCATTTTAAGATTTTTTTTTTTTTTTTTCTCAGGCTTACAGTTTGTTTTTTCTCTCTATCCTCTCTGTGTAAACTACACCGACAGCAGCCTCACATAGAAGTCAAACTGATGCTACCATAACGGCCACAGCGGAGCGGATACTGTTGTTATTTTCACATGAAATGATGCAAAGACAGTCACCTCTTCCACGCTGGCAATGCAGCTGCATCATGTAGCATATCCAGTTATTCTATGTTCAAGAAACAAACATCAGAACATAAAATATAAATATTTCACTTGTAAAAAACAAACAAACAAAAAAACAAAGGCTAAACAGCTGTAATATGTTCATATATGTTCAACATGGTTTTATCCAACGCATTAAGCACATTCACCACTACTCACTCCACATCAAGCCAAACCAAAAATCATTCCAAAAACGAAACGGCATGTTCCTTCCCTTTTTGTGGCCTAAATCAAAAGGCCGATCCAACACACTGAAGACAGAAGAGGTCGAGACTTACTTTAAAAAGGTGAGGCAGCTTAACGTTGCTTTTAGTGGATGGTAGGAAAAGGGGGAGAAAAAAGTTGCTGTTTGAAAAAAATAATATGAGGCAGCACTCTACCTTGTGTATGAACACTGATGCCACTGACATCTGCATTAAAGATCCTGAAAACTTTTCCATCACCTTTTCTTGATGATCAGCAGAGTCCAGTATGAACAAAATCTGAACAGTTTTAATAATTTAATGGAAGATTTTTTTCTTTCAAAATTCTTTTTAAAAACGAGAAATTGAACTAGCAGGGACGTCATTAACTTTTTAAACCAATCAGTATAGACTGACATGCATTCCAGTGGCAGTTGGCGGGTAGTTTGGTCATTAGGTAAGTTTGCGTGTGCATTTTAAATGAATCTGATTGGTGCCATTGGAGAGGGGCTCAAACTTCAAGCAGAAGTGTCACGTTTTGTTTCCATCGTCACATTTTCCTTTTATCATAACCCCTACTAAACCACCTCAACCAAAGTTTTCAAAATTAAATAAAGTAAAACTTTTGATATTGATTCAAAAATTGTTTTTCCATTTAGGATTTAAAAAAACAAAACAAAACACCTAAGCAGAAAAGTCCACATAACACAAGTTGTTTCAATTATTTAAGCTATGAAGTCTATAACAAGCTTCATAGCAATCACACAGTGACTGCATAAATGCAACCTGTCTCCAAACATTTGTGGTCCAACGTGGACTGAAGGTATTCAAATAACTAGAGTCAACATGTTGCAATCAATCTGAGCGCATCTCTTTCCAAGACGCGACTCAGCTGGTTACCAGCTGGTTGTATTCTGGTTAAATTCCCATAAAACAGGCAAGGTTGCAGAGCGCTTATGTCATTTTGCAGTTCAATCGCTATCCAGCAGCAACTATGCCACCATTTGTGGAAGAATTTCTGAATTTCTATGAGGCTCTGACTGGACTCTGAATGCAAGTAGTTAATATGAATTTCTGCGTATGTAAACAGAAAACAAATTTGCAACAGATTTGTGATTTTGCAAATTCATCACCATAACGTCAAAGACAGACTGACCCCATTTTGCTGTTGCAAACTGATAACATGTTGACTCATTTTGCTATTTTATCGCCATCTTAACACAAAACACACTTTGAAGAGGGCAACTGACTGTGACTGGTCGCAGACATAATTTCCATAATTGAAGAAATCATTTCAAAGGCAACAATTTGGAAGTTAATTGCACACGGTCACAATCATTTTGGTCGTGCCACATCATATTATGCAGTTTTTCCTAGTCCGACTGTAGCGTAATAGAAGTCGTATAAGACGAAGTGTGTAAGGTGTTTTAGAATAAGTTTTCAGGAGCTTTAAGTTTAACAAGCTTGTATTTTGTTGCAACGATCAGAGCAAATGCAAAATCAAGCATTTAATGTTGGAACACTTCACTCATTTCTGACCTGTGAACACGATCTACAACACATAGTAGTGTTAAGAAGCCCGCTAGCAAAATACTGTAAACACAGTTCATATTTCATCCTATGAATGGCATGATAATACTGGACCTGTGGATAAAAATCAGCTAAAACTCATTAGACCTTTTCAATTAAGTTTTTTGTCGAAAACACTACTTTCATTACATGCCGAATCCACTTTCATGCTCTTTCCTTTTTTTACACACTTCGCAAAATAACAAACTTGAAGACCTTGTACTGTACACCCCCCTTACCAAAAAAGAAAAATCTGATAAATGAAAAACTTACGTTATACTTCCAAAACAATCAAGCTGACAAATACTGCATAACAGCCCGCTCATGGTGTTGAACGATTAGCTCATCTCATTTACCTTACAGGTATTTATAGAAACAGTACTGTGTTTCGGGGTAGTCATAGAGACTAAGGATAAAATATAGATACTCTGTCCTCTTTGTTGCTTGGTAACAAAGCATCAATTCAATAGCCTCACTTGTGTACGCCTAACCAAACTCCAAACAAGTCAAAGAAGATATTCATCTGGGTATCGAGTAGTGCGAGCTTGTGCTTCAGTTTTGTCCAACATCTTCTTTGCTTACCGTCACTCAGGATGCTAAAGTCTGAATGAGTCTACCGTGACAGAAACACACACAGAAATACTCTTACATACAAGTTACAGCTCTATAAGGACAAGCAAATAAAACAAAATGGATAAAAAAAAAAACTGAATGTTGTTCCCATGTTGCATATAAAAATGTTTAATGTCTGCACTGATTTTTCGGCACTTACGCCGTGACTGCAATGTGCATATTCTGTCAGTTTGTGTTACACTTCAAACTACAGTAGAAAGTCCAAACCTGGTGGATTAAACCGTAAACATGACCAAAACTAAGTGATCCACCAGCAGGACTTAAAACTCAGCGTATAAAAAGATAAAGAAACGTGGTGTGTGATGTCTGTTTGAGTGTGTGTGCTCTGTCTGTCTGCTGGGAGAATTATACAGAAATCAAATGAATTTACAAATCAAGAAGTTTGTGTTTGTTTTCTTTTTTAACTAAGCTCATACAGGTTTTGTTTAGAGGACCGAGCATGCAGTCTTCTGACAGTCATATGATCTCTCTTGCTACTGGTCCTTTACACTTATCCTCAGAAATTTGAAGAATGTGTACGTGTGTGAGCGTGTGTGATCACACATATGCACACTGGAGATGTTTTCCCCTCTCTGCCTCGCTTTGAAAGCAATCACTACTTGACTCTACTAGGAGAGATAAGAAGGCAGGAACGGGAACATGGCTCCCCTCTAAAGGTCCTATTATATTACTCTTCTTCTTCTTCCTCCTCCTCATCATCATCCTCATCGTGACAGTGAGTGATCTCCTGGGGAGTCTGAGGGAACAGGTTGGGTGGCTTGATCTCGCTGAATGAGCGGGTCAGCTGGTTGCGCTTACACTCTAGCTCTTTGCAGTCGCTGCAGTGGGTGCGGTTGCGGGTAGCCAGCGGGGACTCTGTGTCGATGTCCACGTGGGTGTGTTCAACTGTTGACTCATGGGGCATCTGGAAGAGGAGAAATAATTTTTTACACAACAAGAACACAGTTAACCTTTGAAATGTTTTACGAACAATGACAGATCAGAACAGACAATATTTTAGTATGTGCATCAGTGAAGTGTGGCAATGTGTCTGCATCTTAAGGGTGCGTGGTTTCATTCAATTCCCCCACTTTACATTCAGATACTCACTAATATGTGTGACGCTCTGAAGAGGTAGCTGAAGGGGTAATACAGCAAGTTAATGAAGGAGGCTGCATACAGGTCGGCGTAACGCATCACTTGTGAGGCAAAGAGAGTCTGTCTGGAGCCACTGCGGAACAGGCTACCCATCATGCCATAGCACATGTCCATGTCATGTGTCACTTTCTATAAAACAAGAAGAAAAAGAGAAACTGGTAAGCCTTCAAAATCACGTCAAAAAAAGAGGGACACTGATTCATTAACCCTGGAAAGTACGGTTAATAAATTATTTGGGATGTCGTATTTGTTCAGTGAAACAGCTGAATCTGCATCTTTTTCCGATAGCCTATGAGAGACAAACACCGACTGAAAGGGCTCTTTGATGAGGCGGTTTAATGATTAGTCTCTATGAAACAAACAGCACTAAAACCACATAAGCAGCACATCTGTTGTCATAGCAGCAGAGGTCATTAAGGGTGTACCTTGATTCTCCTCTGGATAGTGCTGATATCTGGCCTTTCATTACTGCTGCTATCCAGATGCCTGAGAAGGAAGCAGGAGAAAAACGATGAGGACTGGGTGGGGGTGTGGATACTGATATCAGCCTCCTGAAAGATGATGAGTCAAAGAGGTGGCGTAACAGAGAATTGCGCCAGGCTATAAATAACGTCAGTGAACCTGCTTATCAGGTGCACACTTTGACACTTTAGACTTTACCCTATTGGCCCTGTGGGTTTCTGTTAAATATGCAGTATCCACACATGTATGCAAACAGACACTGTTACAGCCGAGAGCAAAGAGCAGCAGAATGGGAACCTGGGGGGGGGAATGAGGCTAAAGGTCACAGTTCTTACTTGTAGAGTTCTGCCAAGAAAACATCCAGGCCCTGGAGTTCCTCGAATAATGCTGGAAAACAGAGGGAGAGCGTGAATCTCTCTCTCTTCAGCACATTTGAGTGCATGTACAGTTGCTGTACAAATATTTGAAGTTTTGAGAATGTATCCTTTGAGAGTGAGATCATTTACAGGTTTTTGTTTTGCACTTATAGATGTAGTTTTTGCACAACATTTTACATTTCAGATTGCTATTAAAGATCAAGTCCTTTCTGAGACTGAGAAAACAAGCAGTCAAACTAGCCCTCCCACATGTCTGCACACTATGTGTTATGAGTCAAGTTCTTTCTAGACTCACAGCTCTTGTCAGTCCACACATGCAGCTCCTGGGCCAGCTCAGGTATCACCAGGAACGTCCTCCAACCCTGACGCTTCTTAGATTTGAGAATGTCGCCAAAAATGTGGTCTCCGATGTATACTATGTCCTTTCCCTTGGCCCCCAGCAAGTCACACACAATGTCTGAAGAGCCTGAATGACAGTAGCGTGTTACCAACTATGTATGCATTCTTAAGGTCCACGAATGACAGATGAATAAAGCCTAGCTCAAAGAATGAATGATGAAACAAATAAAGCCTTACCTCCAGAGTAGACTATCCCATGTTGCAGTGGTCCTGTGTAGGTTCCTATCTTTAGACGTCCTGTTGTCTGAAATGAAGAAAATAAATAAGTCACTAAAAAGTGGGTCTGAATAACCTAAGTGAAGTGAGTGACTGTTTTTGAATCATTCTGCAATTGCTCCATCTTCCTGAGAACAATCATTTAATTACTTATGCACTGATGGCATATTTTTAGGGCCTTTACCTCTGCGTTTTTCTGGCATAAATTCATGCTTAAATTTACATAATGTTATGCGTTTTAAATTATTGTGATCATTGCCTTCCCATTAATATATATGTACCAAAATAATTGACATACAGATTTTGTCTAATTCGACCCTAGAATGGATCCCAGGTTGAACCAGTGACTAAATCAAAAATGCAAACTACGCTCGAACGACTATCTAACAAAAAATTCACTCATGCACTCTACACTGTTTTCAGTAAGCTGGCCCTCAGTTTGAAACAACTGGTGTGTTTTTGGAAAACAAAACGAAGAAATCCTGAACAGCCCTGACTGAACAGCAAATAAGGGACAGATTGTAAGCCACAACATAACACATGCCAGCTAGGGTTCACTTATAATGTCTTCTCTGGCCAGAACTCTCTCTTCTGATTTTGCTTACTGTGTCCACTTGTCTGAGCACTGTACCCTCTGCGAAGAACAGCGGTTTCCTGGCATCCACCAGGATCAGATCAAAGTAGGACTGCCAGGGCCGGTGCGGGGTGCCAGGCTGGGGTGGATGGAAACACACAAACATGAGTACAAAGATAAAACCATGATGTACATTTATGTTTGACAATAATAAAAAAAAAATCGTCACCAAATAGAAATAGAAAAAATATGTTTTACCTTTGGGCCATGAGGGAAGTCGAACAAATAGGTCATGATTTTCTGTAACACAACACAACGTCTCTAAGTCTGATGCGACACATACTTTGTTCATAAGCTAATACATGTGTTACCGACAAACTGGTAGAAAACTAATAAAAGGATCTCGGCATTAACTTACTGGCATCTAAGTCTTTCACTGTTATTGCATTACTGTTTTCCCTAATCAGTAAGTTTCCACCATAACTACACACACACACACACTTACATCAGTGTATTTGTAGTCACTGTTGGTTGCCAAGAAAACCTTGGATACTTCATTCATTCGGCTGAGAAGAAGAGGCAGCTTTCCCTGGTGGGAACAGAGAAGAAGAAAAGAAAGAGAAAGAATGAAGCTCTAAGCATCTTTACAAACCAGCCTCTTCACAGACTACAAGAGTGTGAGACACTGTGTGTGTTTTCTCTGCAGCAGTGCACTCACAGTGAATACAAACTACTTACATCTTTCACCACATACTTCTCCAAGTTCTCCACAGTCTTCTCCTTCAGCGTACCCTGCAATGTGAGACAAAGGGGTTAGCAAAATCATCAATAACTATAGATATCAGTGAATAATGCTGGATTTCCAAAAACGCTGATAAAAATTCTTAAAATGACAAGTAAACCTAACTCCTTTGTTTAAAATTGCATTAACATTGGTATAATCTTTCTATCCATTATCATTATGCAATAATGCAACATTTCAAAAGTTTAATCATTAGCTTTAAGACATCACTGAAACGTGCTTACACATCTTGAACTCACTCCCTTTTCAGCGGATGCTCAGGGTGATGTTCAATTTTAGCACACGAAATTAAAACAGCTTTCTAGTGTCAAACTCTAAAGAAAAGATCACTATACACAATAAAGATCAGACATTCTAGTGAAGTAACATTTTAAAGTACAGCTGTATGGTTAATAGCAGTTTGGAAGCAGTAATTGGTGACGACTGCTGCAGAACCTTTGGGACCTTGTGTTGTTTAGTTGTGGCATAATCAGTGGTAGTGTTTCAAGAGTATCTCTAATTCTTCTGTAAACAACTTGTCTTTTTGCAAAGGTTTAAAAATTGGTTTACAGTCTAGGACAAATATGCATGGTTTAACTGCAGTTTATTTTGGAAACAGGTATAAGTACTTTTTAACTGAATATAAGAAGACATAGTTGACAGAATTTTAACTGTGAATTTGTGTTAGTATGTTAGTGCAGACTGAAACATATGTGTACAGAAAATATATGCCTGCATATGAACGATATGATGAATGGCATTATTATTAAGACAGTCTCAAAATTTCCTGTATATGTCGTCTTCACAAATACATATCAGATAAAAACTGGGAGACATTATCCTGATGTTCTTAAGTAAATATTACAAACTTAACTGGATTCTGTCAAGAGACTCGATTCAGACATCGTATGAGGAAAATTTTACTTGGCTTGTTGGTGGCTGCCTTCTGTTATCACATTATGTTATATTTGGCCAGAATAAATAAGGAAGGTAAGACTTCCACCAAGACAGAGGAAGGGGTATCACAGAGATGTCAAAAGTATGAGAGGTTGTGATGATATAACATGCCAGTATGTTTATTTCAATTCAATTATTCTTTGCAAATAATAACTTGTCCTCAAGATATAATTTATGCACTCTATTTCATCACATGATCTAGTTTTAGTTCCAACAAATCAGATTAAATCTTAGTGGTTGCATGCATTTTACCTTGAAATGGACCCAGTCAACAGCATCCCGGACATCCTGGAACATGCTTTTAAAGGACATGAAGAGGTCGCCATCTTTGAAGCCAGTTTCACAGCTGGGGGAGGGGAGCAAAGACACACACGTACACAGCCGTCGGACAGGCCATAGTTTTATAGAAGGCTTTCAAAAACATGACATTTGTTTTTTGTTTGCTTTTAAATGGGATAGCCTTCCCTTGTTGGAGGGGTCCCCAGCCAAACAGGAAAACATTCTCCCCCTAAAAGACCAACAACCAGGTTTCAGAGGACAAAGGACATGCAACCATTCCAGATTACATTCTCAAAAAAAAAATTACAGGCCATTAAATCTCCTTACTTTAACAGTCAGAGGATTATCTTGTTGTTATATCAGGATTTCATTCTCTGCAAATAGTTAGTAATTGTTTTTATTCCTATCTGAATTTGATAAGAATCCATACTTTTTCACAATTGGTAGAACAGATTAATAGATATAGTAATTGTAATCGAAACGAAGGGTTATTTGACTGAACTCCCATTGGATTAACAATAGAATTAGACGAGATTAGCAGCTGAGACACCTGAACCCTCCCATGCGTTAGGGCTTGCTCTTGACCCTTTGTGGCTTGCAACTGTCATGGTCTCATCATGCGGCGCCCAGAAACTTGTTGCAGGCCAGATAAAGCAGAGAAAGGTTTTCTTACCTGTCATATCTATCACAGTTGGTGAAGAAATCCACAAGGCAAGCAAAAAGGTAGGTCTCTGTGAAGGAAACAGGAAGATTGGAAGATAATGTCAAGAACCTCAGTGAAATTATTTGCCGCCCCAGCCTTCCAGATTTAGATTCTGTTGTACACATTCATCCCATTCTTCTGTATGGGAAAGTTCTTCCCACCACCACCACCGCAATACGCCAATTTTTATCATCGGACTTAAACACTGGTCTTATTGTTAAGCCCACCAGAGACTTGACTTTATTTAGCAGCTAAGGAAATAGAGAGGCAGTCTGTAAGGTATGATCCATTTTATATAGATTCACACTAAGCCGCCAGAATCACCAGCAAGGCCAGAAGCATCATCCATGACCAATCCTCCCTTAACATGACCTTTTCCATTCTTTTCCCATTGGGCAAAACCATTACTAGCTGAACATATTTAGGGATAATACTTAACTCCAAGCTATTAGGCTCTTGAAGATGCATTGAAGCTCTTATTAATTCACTTTACCTACATCAGCTTGTGCTCATATCATCGAAATGCATTGGGCAGTAAAATGTGTATGTATGTATCATGCATTTGCAATATTAACTGTACTACTTGCACTATGGAGTGTTCCCTTCTGCAATCTGGACTATATCCTGTTGCACTAAAAATCACTTTAAAGGTAGATACACTGAGCTACTATGGGCTGATCTGTTATATGCACTTGTATTTTGTATCACGTTGTGCGGTGCTGTGTGTTGTGGAATGTGTCTTGTTTTATATGTGAGCACACCATAACAATTCCTATCAGTTGTTTTGTTGAAATGGCTACAATAAGCTTGAACTTGAACCCACCTGGCAGATTGAAGAGGGTGTTGAGGATATAGAAACGCTCTGTATCATCTCTCTGGATAAACTTGTTGGGGTACCGTTCACGGATCTCTGGGCTGGAAAAAGCAAAAAAGCACAAAAGGGAATAAAATGTTTTATCAAATGTTTATATTTATGATGCTTGCTTGTATGCAGAGATCTGTGCATTTTGAGGGGGAATGTTGAAAATACCTACCCTCGCAGGAAGTTGAATCCATGGACACAGACCAGGATATTACCGTAAGCATCAACCTTCAACAAGTTTCCATACATGGTATCAAACACAAGGCCTCTGAAAAAAGGAGCAGAGGGATGCATGATTTTGCAATGCACGAGTAAAACAGCCTTTCTAACTTTCTAACAATCTTGGCACTTAAACTCCTGTCACTTGTTATCTTTTACTACAAAATAAATACAGTGACACTGAACTTTGCACAGGTAATGGGGTTTTTCATACTATTACTTGGCTAAGATAGATATCTCAGCTAAAAGGTTATCTGGACTACAAAGTTTAGAGATTAGGCAACAGAAACAGCAGTTGGTCAATAATCTGATGGCCACGATCAGCCTCATGATGTCTGTGCAGAGAGATGGGATTGGTCTCACCTGGTGGGAAATGATGGGTCATAGACGAAGCTCAGGAGCTCCTGAGGATAACCGATGGACACTAGCCGTTCCACTGTCAGCTCAAAGCCTAATGATTCATATTCAGGTGACTTATACACTACAAAGGAAACACATGCACATTAGTTTAGTAAATAATGCCAGCTGCCCATAAAAGTGTCCTGTAGACACTTTAAAAACTGTGAAATGTTACATGAAAGTAGTTAATATTTTATAAATACATACATATAGAATCAAACAAATGATTGGTTATCAATATAACAGATTTTAAATCAGATGTTTAAAAACTTTTTCCCCTGTTTATTTGAATTTGTATTTATTACCTTTTGTAGGATAACTACTTTAATATTGACAGTGATGCTGTACTGAAATGGTATCGATCTGAAAACCTGACTCAAAATTATACAAACAATGTTGTATTTAAAAACCCCAGAAGCATAGCCTGTGGGGTGATTCGATGGCAAACAATGGTTAATGAGGTGATATGCATTTTGTTGCACTTACTCAAGTTACACAACAAATAAGTTTGAGTTTTCAAAGGCCACCTTATCCATTTGAGATCATCTTGTCTGTATTTTGTCAACAACATGTTTTCACTCTACTGGAACATCCCCTCACACCCAATGCCCTTCTCAGTCCTGGCTACCAACACAGACCAGGATGTTCTGCATGTAAATCCACAAAGAAAGAGGATCGGGCGGGCAAATGAAAAATCACTTGATGTAAAGCAGTGGCTTTAATGAGCCCAACTGACGAGCCCCTAACCCGTCACTGCCAGTGGTAGATATTTACCCCAGGCTAAACGAAAAGCGAGACAGGAGTGGGCTCTGGAAATTAAAAGGCTAAAAAAAGACTGGCAGAGGATTAAAATGCTTTCTGACAGGGGGAAAGAATATGTCAGATGTTATAAATATAAAACAGAGAATGCACTGGTGTTAATGCTTGCTTTCTATACCCCCAGTGGGGTGGTGGAAGGCCCCTCAAGGGTTTGAAATATTGGCTGATGATACTTAGAGAAGAGTTAGTTGGAGAGAACAGCACTGTAGGTCAAGCAGGAAAACATCTGTGTCCTACTCTGGAAAACGTGTGTGCATACACAAGTCCTGGGTTATACAGAGAGGTGATAAGTACACAGAGAAGTACAGGAAAAGCCTGGGTTCAGTAAAGCTCTGTTCTTTTGTTGACACCTTTACTCTGTAAGCATGAATTCAATCCAATTTCATTTAAACAGTGCCAAATCACAACAATAGTCGCCTCAAGGCGCTTTATATTGTAAAGTAAAGACCCTACAATAATGCAAAGAAAACAAAGAAAACCCCAACAATCATATGATGTAACTGCATGAGGCAGTTTCTGCATTTTAATCACGTAACCTCTTGTAGTTCACCCCCTGCTGTGTTCTCCCAGTAAACAGGGTTTGGGCCCTCTGCCCAGAGCAGCAGCAGCATACACCAATATAACTGCATTCCCCCCTCCTCTTTGCTTACTTGTAATATTCCTCATGAGTTGCTACAAAGAAGCCTATTTTAAAACCTGTTTCCCCTATGTCACCCTCTTCACTTGAGGTCACTGGGAGTCTCTCTTTACATGTTGTCTTTTGGAAATTAGTACATCCCACACATAAAACAGAATAAATCAAATCTCATTACGAGTTTGTCAGGCTGGAAAACTGAATCAGGAAAATGGTTTGATATATAATAATTATTCTAGACAATTTTAAAACCTATGGGACAGCTAAAACTCCCTACTACACAAAGTTAATATTAGGTCAAAAGCTACTAAAGTTCCCCCAGTAATTGGCTTAAAATGTCATTTTGTCCATAATGCTACTGTTTAATGAAAGTGCACCAGCCAGAGTTAAGTTTGGAATGAACTATGGTTAGGTATTTTATGTTAAAAGCCCTTTACATCAAATCTTCGAACTGTGAACTGTTGATAGACTATCGTAGAACTGTATTTCATGAAAGCCACACCCAAGACTACATAATGCAACATAAAGCTGCATGTTTTAGTAAATGAGACAGCTGAGATGCTCATGTTTACTGCATTTTTTGTAAACAGGAAGTTGGGTTATTGTTGTTTGCTGTGTCCTTGACTCTCTCCCCCTGTGGTGGGAACTTCAGAGATCTGTTTCCCTTTTTATCCCCAATGGGACTGATGCCAGATAATTATACTCCCACTGCTGAGCAGCAACGTATGTCTCCAGAGTTTATAGGCCAGGCCACCACAGGCCTAGATGTAACGTAGACCTCTTGCATACAAGATAAACAACCAGCAGAAAGCCCTTCTGCTGATAGACCCTTATCTCCAAATCAGATATAGTGTGTCGTACAAGGAGACTCTATCTGACCCATTTCACACAGCAATAATTTAACTTGTGTCTTAATATTTGCACAGAATAAAGTGGAAATGTAGGCCTCTGTGACAAATTTGCAACACTATGAAGCATATTGTGGGAAAAATTAGAAAGCTTAAACATTGCCTCAGGGGTACACATTCCAGCCAAAAGTCTGTGAGAAAACTAGGACAAACCTGCTTGTATCTCTCACTGCAATCTGGGCCTAAAACTGTGTTTGAGCAACTTTCTGCAGGGTGTTACGTGTTCCCTTTAGGAGCAGAAGAACAGATGACGCAATGTTGTCTCAACATTGCTAATTCAGTTTACAAAGTCTTACGAAATGTATGATATTTGCAATTTGTTTGCACTAAAGCTTTAGAATAGAACAAACTTTTCACCTCTTCTTATCCTCGTGTTGAGCAAAATGGCACAAAATGTCTCATTCTGGAAGTCACTGTACGTCATTACACTGATGCATGACGACAATGCATTATGAAATTGTCTATAACAATCTAAAATACTTATGCTGATATTAAAAACAAGCCCTGAAATCACATTTTCTTTGACCGTCTTTATTCCAAGAGCTATAGACAGTCATATGAACACAAATACTTTAATTTTTGGTTAATTAGTTCGTTTACATTGCATTTCTTTTATAGTCTGTGCTCTTCTCAAACGCTTGAAAGGGATAACAGGAGCACAGCTAGTAACAGGCGATGGTGAGGTCTCCAAGAACCAATCGTAATTTCTCAATATCTGAATTAAAATGGAATTCCCCTGTTGCTGGCATAGTGAAATTTGATTACACAGCAAGCTTTATGAATGGATTAGATTGTTGCTTCTTTCTTGAATACATTTAAATGTATCAAAAATGCTTTGACATCTGAAACCAAGGTCACAAGAACTTTAAAGGCACCTTAATAGTTTTTTTCCTTCGCATTCCTAGCAATATTTCCTTTCCAAACTTTACCTTTTTTATTCGATACATAAGATGTGATTTTTCTGAGCTTTTTAAGGTATTTTAGTATGTCACTGTAAGCACAAGGATTAATCCAGAAAAACAGAGACAATTATCTTCATGAATCAGGACATGGAGTGCATTTCCTGCTTCAATCACAATCGCATACCAAAGTAAAGAAAAAGTTAACTTATTAAAACGTTTTATAATATGACCGTTATCTTCAGCTTAAATTCACTATGCAGAACTGCAATATATGCTGAATACACACAATAGTAGTCTTTGCACAGTGTGATATATGCCAAACTGATTACAGTTGACAGGGACTCTGTTTAAAATTCACCCAAAGCCTCACACAATCTCCGAAGATAAGCAAAATCATTACATTAGGTTTTGCATACGTTCAATTAACTTAAGGGTTTTCCCCAAAACCCACTATTTTTTCAAAATGCTTAATGACTGCGAAAAGAATTACTGAAAAACTGCTCTTGGTTTCTCTGAGTTTTAGACTTTCTTTCTCTGTTTGGAAACACTCGACACACCATAGACATGCCACAATGAAGGCTGTGAACTCAATAAAAAACACAACTCTTTAATCATGTTGACAACTGCTCCAATCCACTCCCAATATGTTACACTCAGCCACCGCGCTTGTTATGCAAAGAGTACATATTTGAGAACTGCTAGCTTAAAATAGCAAAATATCTTCAAATCTTACAGATTCTTGCCAACTTATCTACAAGCTGAGACAGGAGCCCCTCATCTCTGTAGGAGCAGCACTGTAGGCAACATCTTCACATCATCAGAAGTGGACAGTGGAGATTGAAATAGCAACTGATGTTTAGTTTTGTCATACTTTCTAAACTATAATCTGTGTTTTCATTTGTTCATGTGTACCAAAATTTCCTGACAGATATTATTGAGTTTTTACATAGTGATTTAAAAAAATAAATTATGTTTCTGCTTTAAATCTCTATTTTTATAATCCCAATCTTTCTTCCTTACCTTTTTCCATAAACATTGCACGCAAAAAGCAAGTAATATTTGAAATGTACATATTTCAGGCGTGCTGCACATCTGAACCGCCTTCTATCACATAGCGTTGCATGTGATTAAGCAACAGTCAATCTGAGGAAGCAGTTCTGTGATCAAAATGTGAACACTCTCCAAAGATACACGATAGCCACCCTTCAAGCAAACATTAACACTTGGTTATGAGCTCCCATAAAGAGAGTCATGTCAACAGCTGAGCATCTGTAAAATCTCTTATACCCCGAATGGTGATAGGGGTCCAGAGTCAAAGAAGAACTACAAGTGACTCTTGTTCTCAGGGGAGCCGTCATTGCTGAACTCAACAAACAAACGTGACCTGTTTTTCAAAGTCAGGGAAGATTTATTTTTAGATGTGTAGAGACCGAAAACTGGAGCTGAGTCACAGAACAAAGTGGCATGAAAAATCAGGATATTTTTAGCCAGGTTGCTAGCCACTAGGAAAAAGAACATACACAATTAAGTCTGTGTTACAGAGAGCTACTGCTGGCTTAACATTTCGTTATCCTAGTGTTATGGCATACTCAGTGTATCACTATCATTGACCTAAATAATACTTTATGAACAACAAGCTGTGGTTCAGGGGCAATGGTAGGGTACCCAAATATAGAGCTGAAAAGACAGGGATACTATAGACTTCAACATCTACACCAAACATGAGGTCACAGCACATTTAACAGCTAGGGAGTTTTTTTCAGCTTCTAAAGGCACATAAATAAATGCGCTCTCAAAATCTAAATTTAACGTGACAACCACAAAGTTGGTTTCCCTTTCAGTCAATGCCACTCCAAGACACTTTTATAGATTCATTACATAACGTTTATCAAAATAGGAATGGTCATTTTGACAAGACTGTATTGTTGATGACAGCACAGACGAGCCATGTAAACTGAGAATGTGCTATACAACACTCCAGCCAACTTGGCCTGCATACCAAAACCCTAAAAAGTGCTGATTAATTAGATCAATAAATTGATCGATTGTTTATTAAATCTAAAACACTTTTGGACCGTATATAATAAACGTCTCTTAAAAACTGGCAAATTTAGAAGTAAAAAGAAGTAAAAATAAAAAAAGATCAAAATCATAAAAATAATTATAATCTGACTGTGACTTTGTCATTGGGTCTTTTCTTTTCAGCTGTTATGTTGTAGAGTTAATGGTATGCTTGGGATCATTGTCCTCTTGCATGACCCAGTTTCGGCCATGCTTTAGCTGTCTAACAGATAGCATCATCTTTGACTCAGGTATACAGAGTAGTTCATTGTCAGCTCAGTGACTGCATGGTAACCAGGTCCTACAGTTGCAAAAAACAAACAAACAAAACCCCCCAAATTATCACCTCTTCACTACTGTTCTTGACAGTTGGTATAAAGTGTTTGTGCTGATATGCTGTACTTGGTATTCAAACTGTGCATTATAGTCAAAGAGCTCCACTTTGGTGTCATCTGTTCAAATGTCATTGTTCTAGAAGTCTTGTGTTGATTTTCTGTTTGTTTGGGTTTTTGGGGGTTTTTTTTTTTTTAATTTGGTTTTAAAATTTTCTTTCCATTGTCAGAACTTGGGGTAAATTTGTGGGGTCCTCTCCTGGGAAAACTGTGGCATTGTGATAACACATGTCAATTGTTCAATCCAGAAAACTGCCAAAACGTCTGCTTTTACAGAGGTGGTCCCACTTGCTGATGATCAATTAATCAACTGTATCCGATTAGCACCTGGACGCTATTTACAGTCTTAAGTCCAGGAGCCATTTAGGGTATAATTTGTTATAATAGGACTGCATAGTACTGTGAAATCTCTTTTTCAAATGATAAATAGGCATTTTTTTCCCCCCAATCACTCACTTCATTAGTTAACTGATTATCCAAACTCTGATCTGATTATGACTGATTGTAATTGATTGTGTGACTGTGTATTTAGCTTACCTGCTAAAGTGTAATCCATATCAAAGCCAAAGCACTTAATCTTCTCCATTGCCAAGCTTCTGTTGACAAAGATTCTGGGGGGAAAAGGTTTTTGTAAATTTTATGTAATCATCCGCAACAAATTATGACTCATAGCAGTTGCCCCAAGTGAGAAAAAGAAGAATGTTATCCCACATATACATATCCAACAACTATCATTTTTTCTTCCAAGTACAACTTTTAAATTTTATCAAAAGGTACATCTATAGATTTACATTTTATCAAGTCAGGTAATTTAGACTCAGTGCATTTCACTGTGCATGCATAGACTGAGGTGTTAAAATAACTGTGAAAATCAAATCTAGAAAAATACATAAAGCAAATGTAAAAAACACAAAAATAAGAGTGTAACTCTTAAAAAATAAGAGTGTAACTCTTATTTTTGCATTCTTTTGTACAGTTATGATTACAAACCTCGGTGTCACCTCTATGAGCTTGCAGTTTGAGTTTGTTTGCCAAAAAAAAAGACTACACCAAATAAACAATGATATAGGTGATTTATAGATTTGACTGATAGCTATAGCCCTATTCTTTCAGATTTTCTGTACAGTCTCATTACTTCAAATTATTCTATCCACATAAATCATAAAATGAAAATATGATAAGTTCTAACATGGACAAATCTTGTTTACTGTTGGGTGTCCTTGAGTGTCTAATCTAAAGGTCAGAAAAAAAAGATGAAGTTACTACCACTACTACTACTACTCCAAATTTGGCAATTACCACACAGTGTAAAAGAATAAATTCTGTTATTGTGTTAGGTACAGAGCCTTAAGAAGCCAAAAGGCAGCTTATGACAAGTACTTAAGAAGAGCTTACCAAGACATTTCAGCCTTATTAAACACCAATATATAACACATAATTAACTACATTTTAGGTGCTGTAATGAAAATGAGAACTAAATATCCATTTCAGATCACTTCATCTTTGTATGTACTGGAAATACCATGCGAGGATGATGGTTCTTTGATACTTTCATTATTACAAGTTGTTTGTTTCTCTAGAGCGTATTTTATGAGATCTACTTGCTGGCGTGTTCCTTAACGATAATAGTAAATTAATACACATAATTAGTTCTGATAATATCTTAAAATACTTTAATATAAAGTGGCCACGATGAAAACCAGCGCTTCGTAGACACAGAAAATACAGCCACACACTGTCTGCGTAACTCTGACTGCTAGCACAGACCTACATAACTTATCTTCTACAGCTGTGACATAGTTGAAATTCTATACAAGTCAATATTTAATCATACAAGAACCGAAATATGTATCAGACCAACAGAAAAATCAAGAATGACACTAAATTAAAAACAAGGGTGAACTGATACACAAGTCTAAAACTGCAAGGCATCTAATCTTCTCATTTTTCTGTGACAATGGTCTATTTATCTTCACCAACGTCTAAATCGGTTGTGAAATACCTGGCAGCGGCTCCATAGTGAACAAGTTCCCATTTAGAGCAAAGTCCACGACACGACTGGCAATGCATTCTGTGTGAAATTAAACCTCGGTTTGACTCTCCGGTGGTCTGACACTGCTCCAGCAACGCAGGGCAACAGTGGACCCACAAACAAAGCCCCCCTCCCTCTCTCTCTTTGCTGTCTTGCCATTCAGAAATTTTCTGACTTGTTGCAAAAATGATTGTGGCCATTCTGCGTCATTCTCTGTTGTTGTGTGCTGTCAGTCAGGGTTGTTGTGAACCATGATGTTTGTGGGCCCTCAAAGACATCTAGAACAATCACAAGTCGGGTAGAATCAAGCACGCCAGTGCCACAAGCTACAGCTGCTTCCCATTACTCACATCTGGTTGAATATACACATTTGTCGTTGGCCTACAACTACTGGTTATTTTTTAAATTCATTTTTGTGGCCGTGAAAACTGCCAGTTGTGATTTTCAACAGAAAATTACCTCTTCAAATATCCTTAGACTTCTTTATTCAAATAAAAATTTAATTAAATATGTTTATGCTGTAACTGTTAACAAAGTTAATAGTACTTTTTACTTTCTTTCTTTTTTTAATGTAAATCCTTTCTTACAAATAAATAAATTTTGTAGATGAAATTAAGCGCTACTGAATCTCAAACTGATCACCTGTAAAAAAAAACCAAAAAAAAAAACCTGATTTGCAAATTCAGGTTAACGACCTTTTAAACTTGAAAAACGTGTACTCAAATATCAAAATGCTATATCAAATTTGATCATCTATATTTATTTTATATATTTAGTTGCTTATAAAAAATGAGCCTATTATGGCCTTATTTTGACATTTAACATTTAACACTGGCTCATCAAAATAGGATGTGCTCCTCATCAGCCAAAACAAATACAGTCAACATTTCGCAGGGATGAACAAAGGATTTAATGTTTAAATCTTTTCTATTTCTGTTTTGCTGGTGCCATTATGATGTAACCTCTTGCCAGATGCCTGTGGGAGGGGTAGTAAAGAACGGCCATAAATGATAAAGCGTGCCCCTCCTAAGATCAATTACTGTAGTCAGCCTTGACTTTGGCCCTGCTGACATCAGTATTGCTTCAAATAGCACCTACAAGTGAATCCCTTAATAACTTTTACTCCATCTGAGTGCAGCTGAAGAACAATCAGCCAGATTTTTTCCACTGCGCTTTAATCTCATGCAGACAGTGACTCGAACGTTTATCTGCACTGGGCAGAGCCATCAGCCCCCTGCAATGTGATATACACAGAGTGCACTGTTTCGGCTGAGCTCTTACTTTTTTTGGAAAGGCCTTTGTGAGTCTGTAAGATAAACAAAAGGTCACGCTTAAATCAGTAATGATTTCACTGACCAAGAACTTCTGTCACATTGTTTCAAAGAGCACCTTTGAACTTTCACTTAGCACTGCATGTGTAACCCTTTGCTGGTTCATAGTTCATGAACCAGCAAAGGGTTACACATGCAGTGCTAAGTGAAAGTTCAAAGGTGCTCTTTGAAACAATGTGACAGAAGTTCTTGGTCAGTGAAATCATTGACCAAGAACTTCTGAAATCATTACTCATTTGTTTGTTCTGCATGTGCTGCTGGGGAATAAATCAACCAGTTCGGTTGATTTATTCCCCAGCAGCACATGCAGAACAAACAAATGAGTGATGGTTTCATAAACCTTGTGAGCACTGCATATTATATAATAGCATGGAAGAAAAGCAGTACCCATTGTAAACATGCCTTAGAGTTAAACATTGAAAAGAAACACTCATTTTATTGCTCTGACAGGGAATAAACCCCTGATTATGTCAGTATAACTGAACGGACTTTACTACAAGCAGGTAAAGGAACAAGGATGTTTATAAGTGAAAAGATATATTAATGGTCAATAAAGCTACTTACTATAAAGTCAAAGCCATAAAATCCCTGCAAAACCAACTACATGTTTATTATGCTGAGCATATCTGGATCTCGAGTCGTCCATTTAGCCCGTGGGTCTTGTCATTCTGCTGATGTTTCATGAGTGAAAAATTTTGCATAACAGCTACAAAGACCACACCCCAGTCACAATCAATTCTATGAAACATCTAAGGCAGCACAGCCTGCTTCACAGTCGAAGTGACAAAGAGACATAGCCTAGTACATGCTGAGCACCAATGGCAGACTACAAGTAAAATAAGACGGGAATTAAACTGGAAAACACAGCACGCTAACAGGATAATCACAGATATAATCACAGATTAGTCAGTCACTCTGTTATAATGACAATAAGTGATACACAATGTAAAATCTAAGAAACGCACTTTAGTATATTTTTAAAATGTATGACATGCTTTGCCATGGTGAAATAAATAGTAACAAGCTACTGTCATAAACTGTTGGGGAATCCAAAGACCACCCAACACAACTCAACTGGTTAAGTCATGATTTGAGTTATCGTTGTTATAGTTACTTAAAATAACTATGTGTTACTGTTGGTGTAAAAAATAAATTAGTCAATCAATCAATTCTTAACGGAAATACAAAAAACCCCAAATACATTAAAAAAAAACCTTAAAGAAACAATGTTTCTTACTAAAGAGAAAAACATCATTACAAAATAAAGACACAGAGGCAATACCTTTAGTTTTAGTTTCAAATTCCTAAACACATTAAGTATGAGGCAGCAGTGTGAACTGAGTCTGGCACATGTACATAGCTGTGAGTCAAATCCTGTATTGTAATAACTGATCTGAACTTTATAAATTTGTCCTTTAAAAGCAGACCTACATTATAATAACCAAAGACTAGAACTAACACTGAAACTGAGAAAAATAAAACAAAACAAAACTAAACATTTCCAAGCAATAAAAGCTAAGCTGAAACAAACAAACACACTCGTGAAACAAAGGAAATTTAACTCAATTTCTTTGACTACTCGCTGATGACAAATTGGAAATAAAAAGGAAACAAAAAACACAAATATAAGCTGTCCGAAATTAATAATGGTAGTTTCTTTAGTGTCCTGATGTCTGTATCACAGAGCGGCCCTGGATTCCTTTGTGGTTCTGTATATAACTATGCAATTCATTCTGTAAACGCCTCTGTGGTGGGTGGCCATACAATCCATCATTTTAACAAACAGAAACTGCATATTATTAGTTTTCATATTACAGAATGGACGTCCACAATATTTTATTATTACCTGCAGATTTAACCTCTGAATGAAAGCTGAATTATGAGCACTATTAATCCTTATATTACAAGCAGTATATTCTTTATGTTGCGCTGACAGCCCCAAATTACAAATGCTCAAATCTTCCTGAAAACTATCATTCATTTACTTTCATTTCTATTCATAATTCAAAATCATCAGTCCAGGAGTTTTATTTGTTTTTTCCACAGTAGTCTCTGTCTGGCTGCTTAATCTATGCTGTGAAATGTCAGTGTGTCCCTTGTGGATGTTTCATACCTGTGGTAGGGCTCCCTCCTGTACTTCTTCATTGTAAGGCCGTCCATGTTGGCGGGCAAGTCTGCATAGTTCTGCAGTCTGTCACTCCATGAAGTGGTCATCTTTCTAACTGTTCAGTCTCTAGAGACAAGAAGAAAGAGACACAGAAGGCCTAAATGTAAGTTGCTGAATATCCGTGTTGATCAGACAACAAAAGAGGGAAAAACCCCCATTAGAAGCAGCAAAGTCTGTGGTGAATAGAAATATAATTCAATCACACTTTGTCCTTTAGACTTTAGAAATGGGATTATGTGGATGAGCTAATCAAGTTCCAACCTGTAGAAATTGAGTGGTTTAAAACTTGGAAGGAGCCAAACCAATATCCTGATAGTTTGGTTATCATCGCCTAATTATGGTGTTTCCTGTGTAATTATCAAACTAGGATTAGATTACACAGTGGAGGGTGAGGACCTACTGTATGTAAAAGTTCAAGCCAGATTAAAATGAGAGATAAAACAAAGACATGTGATACAGTTTAACATGGGGATCATGGTAGTCAGAATATGAATGGGTCCTTATTTGGTTATAACATCAGATTGCAAGCAAAAAAGCTGAGACCTAAAAAAAGAGACATATGGGAAGTCTTGTGGATTTATGCTCCAGTGGAATGCAAGCCTAGTTTCTGGTTTTGTCTTTTAGCTTAAAAGGCCAGTGTTGTGTGTTTTTTTCCTCTTATGCTGACATGCTGTCATTCCTGTACTGTTGCTGGAGAGGCTGCAGGAAGGAAGGGTAGAGATCAGCTTTCTTCTTCTTAGTGCCAGCACAAAAGCAAATGAGAATCACATGCTGAGGCAAAGAACTGTCAACAGGGCCACAGACATAAAAAACAAACAAAAACCACTGCAATCAGTGTGCAGCTTCACAGAACACAAAACAAAAGCTTCAGCTGATTTCATCTGAAACCTTATTTTAACTGTTCGTATTTAAAAACAAGTATGGACACAACTGGTAGACAAATCACTTTTTTGTTATTTTACAGCTTGTTTGCTTTCTTAGCTCTATCTTAATTGCCCATGTTGTGAAATGGGTCCTATGGGGTCAGAAGGAAGCTCTGGCTTGCAAAAATCCACAGCTAAGCATTACGAAAACCTGGTCAACTCAACAGTACTGCAGACAGCAGCTGAAAAGCAAACATAACTTAGAGCAGGCTTTGTTTCCTATGCTCAGTCTTGGAGAGAGAGCGTGGATCAACGAGTACTGCAACTGTACAGCGGGTGAAGCTAACTGTCACTTGTTTTTGGCGAAGAAATCACGCCAGCTCTTTCTTTAACTCCGCAGTCAGAGAAAACAACGGTGAATACTCACAGATTATCTGAACCTAATGTAAAAGTATCTCGACAAGCTAGAACATCTCGTTCGCGGGGTTACCGAACAACATCCCGTTATTTACCACCGGACTACGGGGCTAGCTAACACTCCGCTCAAACCGCCTCCGTCCAGCTCTTCTTTATCTGACATTGATGCGAAGGGCAGCCAGAGGTGGTCCAGGCACAGCTAACGCGTTAGCTGGCTTTGACACAAAAACACGAAGACTTGAAACTGTGGGAGCAGATTTCACTTTGTTCAGCTGCGGTTGCCGTTACTGTACTCACCTCTGAGTTCCTGAATAAAACAAATGCGCCGTCGGTTACTCTGAGCATGCGCCTTGAGCTGCGTGCAAGTCGCAGGAAAAAGTGTATATTCTGACAGAAAGCTGTGGGCGAAGCGGTGACGAGTACTCTGCAAAGCCAGGTATATAATAGCTGTCCGTGCCCTGCCTGCTCCCTGCTGTCTCGCTCTCTGCTGCCAGCTGCTGTTATGAGACATTCAGAGGGCGGCGTTAAGTTCTGTCTATCACAGAGGGGCGGGACCATCAAGCGCCGTGGCACAAACACGTGACCCCACTTGAATTAGGCTTCACTTTATAACAAATTAATTAATTAATTTAGAAAAAAATAATATAACATAACGATTCAATAATAATAATAATAATAATAATAATAATAATAATAATAATAATAATAATAATAATAATAATATTTGATTTTAGCAATATGCTAAGCAAGTCTAATATGCATATGCAACTTCTATACTGGGTGTGTCAAACAGGTGAAAATTGCATAAAAAAGAGGTAATAACTACCTTTATTGCAACCCCTAACCTTGAAAATGTATTGGTTGTAACCTCGGTGATGTTAAAGTCCTGATTTCCATCAGCTCATTGGCATTCATTCTAGGATTAGAGTTGATTTTTGTTTCTGAAACATGCTAAATAGGCAAATTTTCAGAAACTATAAGATGTGTGTGTAGGTTCTCAATCATTCAGGTCGTGGTACTCACTCTCTTTCCAAGCTCTTTTGAAACTATAAGATGTTAACCTTTCCTAAATGTTGATTTTACTAATTTTCTGGCCTTTTGGAGGTGTCGTTTTGTTTTTGACACACAGGAAAATTCATATTCCATTGGATAGTTACAATAACCAGGGACTGAACTGTTAGGGCCTCCAGGGCCAGGCAACGGGGGCTGAAGCCACAAGCTGGTGTACTACTAGTGCTGGTCCCAAGCTGATATAAATGGGGAAGGTTGTGTCAGGAAGGGCGTTGGGTCCAAAATCTTTACCTAACAAAATATGTGGATCATCAAGACTGAGAGCGGAAGAATGCTTGTTCAAAGGCAGTGAGGGAGAAGCCAGGAGTGTGGAGGTGAGAGTAGGGACTTTTTTTTAGACTGTAGAGATTACTGGTAATAGCTAATAAGACCACAGAGAAGCCTAATATATGTGATGATGAGTGTTGGTAGATGATCTGCTGTAGTGTCTCATAAAGGGAACAGCCAAAATAAGAAAAATATCTAGGACCTCTGCCTAGAGGCCCTACATTAGGTGATGTTTTCTTCATAGGGGTATTGTGAGTTCTTCGTCATCTGGCCCCTCAGCAAGGACCAATTTACCTGAGACCCCACACAGGCAAATACCCTGACAACATAACTTACTAGGGCACACAAATCCTTCCATCATGATAAGATGGCGATATAGTGGAAAGACCCAGCTTAGGTGATTCATGCACATGACTAACATGTGTCCTAAGCATGTACTATAAGTGAGGTGTTCCAGGCATGTCCTAACAGAAGGGTGTTCCCAGGTAAACCCAGGATATGCTGGTGAGAATATATTTGTCAGGTAGGTTGAGAACACCTTTGTGTCCCTCAGATGAGCTGTATGTGGTGGTGGTGGCCATGCAGAAGGAGGTCTGGGCTTCTCTGCTTAAACTACTGTCTTGTCAATCTAGGCATGGTTAAGCAGCAGAAAATGGATGGGGATGGATGGAAAAACAGGGGTCTAAAATGAAGGATGTTAACACAGTTCAAACCCTGTCCCTAACCCTAGATGACACTCAAGTGACCTGATGAGTGTTAAGAGGTTAAAAGTAGTAAAACAGAATACAGAAAGTAAATTCAATCTGAAAGTCACTTGTTTTAGGAACAACACAAGCACTAATTACATCTTGTTTGGGATATGACAGTTTTGCACAGTCATAACAGATATAATTTTTTTTCATTTGTGATATCTCGTATTAAAATTATGATTGGTAATGACTAAAATGTAGATATGTGAAATCACAAATGGATATCACAAATGCAGCTATGGGTATCTGAAATGTCACTGTTCAGAGTTCACTGTTCTGCCTGTAGACTCACCCTATAGCATAATAAAGATTAGAAGTAGGCTAATCATTTGCTCCCAGTACAATCAGATTATTAAATGGTCACGTAGGAAACTTTTCATGGTTTTGATCATCTTTCCATTATTTTGATGCATATTTTTAATGTATGCATTTTATATTTCTTTTCCATCCCGTCTTATGTTTTGTTTGTTGACTTGTTCTTGGATATTTATCCATCTAACTGTCATACTGCAGTCAGATTTGCCAATCTTTTTCCTCTTGGAATGTCACTGCAGAAGTACCTGCAATACATATATACTCTTGCTATTAAATGTCATAATAATTTAATGTGGTGTCCTAAGTGAGCAAATCCAGGATGTTTTGATTTAGAGTCCATGGCTATAATTAGTAAAGTTAAATGCCTGCAGTGTAATGCTCTGTGTAATGTTCAAAACTAAGATACCATCAACAGTGAGCCAGTGTCCCTTCCCAGTTAACTGGACCTTTACTGTGAACAGTTTCTAATAATATTAAAAAAGAGAAGCTGTCTAATCTGTTAAGCCTTAATTACTGCTCACAACAATATGTGTTTATATGTATTATCAAAGTTACAGCTATGCATTATCTCAGACCTTAGCAATAACTTTGCTAATACATATAAACACATAAATGGTGGAAAGTCCCAGGTATCTCACTAGGGCTTAAATACTTGGGACTCTCCACCATTTGGTCTTAGAACTGAAGAAGCTTCTTGGATTTGAGGTGAAACATCTTCAAGAAACATAAAGAAGTCCAGTCGCTTTTCTTTCCAAACACCTTAGATTAATAGATCAGAGAAGTGCATATAAATATATATATTTCTAAAGCTCAAAATGGAGACATGTCCCTACCTAAATAGTAGTTTCCTCCCACTGTTGAGTCCCCACACATGAGCACATCGCTAATATTGATATCCCGAAACCTAATCCTTGCATGACTACCCCCATCTCTCTTCATGCTTCTTTGTACCAACTATATGAAATTAGTACTTGCTCAATAGCCAGTTGGAGTACCATTAATCTAGTGAGATTTATTCTCAATCTGATGAGGATTACTTGCTCTTCCCTTGTTCTAAATGTAAATTTCTACTTTTTATTTCACTGTTCTTTCTTGCCATTACCCCATACTGTGCAACTTAAGACTAAGGACAGATGCATTACTAGACACACCTTAAAGTCAAGTCATTCAACTAAAAACACTAAACAAAAGAATTCTTAATAGCAAACTGGAATTCAAAGTTCAAACAACAAAACCTTAGGTCCATGATAAGAGTATAATACCAAAATGAACACATTTAACTAGGCCCTATTTATAAATCATTCTTATAATGATCTTGCTCTGCCACAAATCACGATAATAACACCACTGTGAATGTGCCGCACTAAAATTTTTAAACACACTAGAATAAAAACACTGTGCCAGTTAATACGGTTCGGTAGTCCAGTTTGCTTGCAATATAACGCTATTTGACAGCAGAGGGCAGCAAAGGCCTGTCAGTCGGATCCTGTTTGACCAGGCTTTATATATACACACTTTTACCAAACAGAACAAATAACAATCAACCAGTCCGAGTAACCCTAGATATTATTTAAAACAGTTTTCTTGGAAATCTAACTCTAATTATATTTCGTGCAGCCTGCTACATTTTATGCATAACATATTTATTTTCAAATACAAATTTCTCATTGTGTTATACGCATGTTTAACACAAGAAAAACGCAGGGCTCGCTCTTGATCTGCGTTAAAATAATGGATCATATTATTTAAATAGATTTGGAAACTGCAAGCAGATGTGTTGTATGACGTCAGTACTGTGGTTTGGGGAAGAGTGTTTTACGGATGTTACCTGGCTGCACTGCAAGTAAGTAAGTTTGCAAGTAAACTGCACCGTCATCGTCATTCTGCGTTAATTAAAAACAGCATAGAATTTGTAGACTGGAGCGGATTAGATGAAATTCCGTTTTCAGAGATTTTTCTCAGCAACAAAAACGCTGAAGATGGGCTGCAGGAAACTGTTGCTAAAGGATGTCTTATACGGAACATTTGTTACATGTTGTTAGCTGTTTGTTTTAAATAAGCAACAAGCGATCAGACGCGGATACATCACCACTGCGCCAAAAAGGACAGTTCCATTTGCTGAAAGAAAAAAAAAATAGAGTCAACCGTGCACATCTGGAGTGATGTCATATTTAGAATATACCTATCAACGAAAAATCTAGTTTACAGGAGTGATTTCTGTTCATTCGCATATGCACAGTGGACTGCCTGACGCATCTGGAACAAACTAAGTCCGGATGTTACCGTTGGGCATTAATTAGTGATTGGGTCGACACCCCTATATAAAGGAGACGCGCCCACTGCTCTGCTCTGTCTCCACACAAGCGAAGATGAGCTACGGATCTGAAGTCTTTTCCTCCTCCTCCTACCGGAGGATTTTCGGGGATTCTCCCCGTTATGCATCCTCTCCATCGCGCACGGTGATGAACGTGGCCTCTCGCGGAGGGTACCGGTCCTCCTCCCTATCCCGAAGCAACGTTTCGTCCCTGGGCTCTTTCAGCAGAAAGTCTGGCCGCTCCTTCTCTCCTATGCCAGTGGAGTCCTTCGACCTGACACAGAGTAGCGTCCTCAACAATGAGTTTAAAATCATCCGCACTAATGAAAAGGAACAAATGCAAGGTCTTAATGACCGCTTTGCAATGTTCATCGAGAAAGTGCGCAACTTGGAGCAGCACAACAAAGTGCTGGAAACAGAGTTGACTGCTCTGCGACAGCGTCATACCGAGCCGTCCAGGCTGGCAGAGCTCTATCAGCAAGAGATCCGCGAACTGCGCTCCCAGCTCGACGAACTGAACGGGGAGAAGTCCCAGCTGATGATCGAGAGGGATAATATTGAGGACGACCTGCAGAAGCTCAGGGGGAAATATGAAGAGGAGTTCCGCGCCCGAGAGGAGGCGGAGGCCACCCTCAAGGCTTTCAAAAAAGATGTGGATGATGCTACCATGGTGCGCCTGGACTTAGAGAAGAAAGTGGAATCCCTCCTGGACGAGATCAACTTCCTCAGGAAGGTGCATGAGGAGGAGGTGGCCGAACTGACGGATATGATCCAGGCTGCACA